CTAAGTATGTAGAAGGCTTTTATTTAATTTGGAGGGTTTGCTTTAATATCATATTATATCGAATTACTTGATTATCATCTAAAACATTACCCTCTGGTAACTGACTTCTAGTTATTGATGTTTTAGTATTCGCACATAGAATAGTCACGCCACTTTGAATAACTCCCTTTATTACTCCTTCGGTATATCTTGCATCTTTCTTTCTTTTTTATTCTTTTCATCACAGAACTGGCGGAGTCGAGTACCAAATATGCTTTTAAGTTGTTTACATAGGCGGTCTAGATCTTGGTACATTCATCAACGGCAGATTATTGAACATGGTTCGCTTTGGCGGTAGATATCCAGCATTTTTACAATACAATTATTTGTGCTTCATTTTTAAAATTATCATACCGGTGTATCGTCTTTCAATTTGATTTCCCACTTCCACTTTTTATACAAACACGTACTTGCCCTTCAGCCAAGACAGGAAAACCGCTATAAAGAATAGTTTGTTGATAGATGGGGATGGCTTAAAATTAGTATCATCTACAAGCTTCTTGAGAAATATGCAAGTCAATAATGAATATGCATGGGTAGTGATATTGTTTACAATATCTACTAATTTGACTGTTGATTGCAAATATTTTGGTTTGACAACTTCGTCAATAGGTGCCTTGATGAACATAATTAGTTCAGCTGGCTAGAATATAATAAGGGAAAGTTGAACCCGATAAATCCGTTTGAATTTGAATACTGTATATTACATTTATATTCTTCGTAGAAATTTTTAAGCAATTACGATCGAAGTATGGACAGAAAGAAAATGTTTATCATGTCAAAAAAACCCATTACAGAGACTATTTTTCACACCAGTGTACCGAAACCTGAATTATCGTTTGAAAGGTACTTTAACATTAACTTAAATTACTATAATGCAAAATGTCTGAATTTTATTTTGAACCTGTCTATTTTCCATCCTTGTTTCGTCTAAAGAAAATAAAGTCGGGCATCTAGAAATTAATTTTGATTTATCCAAAACGATATTAAGGTTGTCTAGATTTTAAGTATAAAAAAACAGAATTTTACTTACCTCTTTGAGATTATTTGTTTTCATAAATATTTTTTGTTTCTAACAATACAATGCATCTGTTGTTTGCGTGTCCAGTATTCTTATTTCATTATCCTTAACAATTGCATATTGCCTTAAAGGCAAAACCCGACCATGTGTCGTCAAGTCACTGCAATCACTGTATAAAACGTATTCTCTATAAGATGGTTTTGATATGATTCCTTCTGCACAATTTGTTAGTTGTTATTGATTGTAAAAAATAAAGCACTTACGATCGTTTTTAAATAGCTGAAATACAGTTGATCTTTCGTCTCCTTCTTTCACGGTGGCTTGATCATGAAACAATAACTGGTCTACCAACTCGTATTGCCTAGGTAGCTAATAAAGTATTATTAGCACAGACATATTCGTTATTTAAAATTACTCCCTTACTTTGCGTAATAGCGATATAGCGTGGCACATCATAAATTCCTGTTGACGTATGCTACTGATCATACCGGTAAAGGTTTTTTTTCCTCGGCTTTTATAAAGTTCAGTGTTTCATGTTGTAATAAACTTTAAGAATACATACCGGAGGTCTTCCCAAGGAAATTCAGCTAAATCTGTGCCTAGGCTGGCTAATCCTTCTGTCACATGTGTACTATATCTAGCGACTGGGTGCGTCGAAAGAGTATCGTACGCTATCAGTCCTAAAGTTGGTAGCATTCTATAAACATATGAGTATAAATCCATTATTTTCATTCTCTATCCATCCATATTACATTGAGAAAAATTCATAAACCGACGTGGTCTCCAAAAAGTAAAGTCCTTTTTCTGCTTCAACAGACATGTTAAATAGTGGCTTTTGGCGTGAGCATGGTATTCTACGGGAGCATTTCCACAACTCTTGCCAGATATTACTTGACTCAGACATTCTTGCACTAAGATGCCCTCCTTCTTCACTATCATCCACAATCCAATCTCGAGGTGAGTGCCACCGCACAAAGTCTTCTAAACAAGCAAAAGGGTTGGCTGCTTTAAATGCTTGCATATCTGAATAGAGTTGTGCTGACTGTAGTTTAGCTCGTTGTTGCGTGGCATTTTCTGATGTACCCAAACTCTCAAATACATTAGCCTGTTCATGGATCATATCTTCCGTCATGAATCCCGGATCTTGTGTTATTGGAACTTGCATAGCTTCACCAGTTTTTAGCAATCTTAAGGTGTTGTGTGTATGTGATTGTCCTTCCGATAGCTCTGGTTCCTTAATGGTAGCTGCTTCTGCTTCTAATTCATCGGCGCTATTCGATACGGGTATGTAAGGCAAACTAACGAATGATTCTGTCATGGTATTATTAGGTATTATCAATGAGGACGATGCTGAGTCCTGTTTGCTGGCGCTACTGATAGATTCTTCCTCCACTGCATCTAAAAACACATCACTGTCATCTGATTCAGCATCTTCTATATCTGATGGCTCAAAAGAGACAGAGTCCTAATGAAGAGATTAACAACTCTGGAGCGGACATCGTAAAAGAAAAAAAACTCACATCAATAGCGGATTCAGATAAACCACCATCAACAAACCTTTCTAGCATGGATTGAAATTTTGATGATTTTGACTGTCGCTCATGCTCACTCGAAATGCTATCAAGTAAATTACCAGCATGTCTGGCTGGCTTTGTATCATAGATTTTGGTGTTCCCATTTTGTGGCAAATTTTGCAGCTTACGGATAATACAGCAATTCACCATTGAAATTTTTTGATGTAGCTAGATCCAAAGAAAAAACGGTTAATTAACTTAGAGTATTGAGCAAGAGTGAAATGAACTTTACAATATTGTAGCGTAGATCAATGCCAAGCATGTTACTTTGATCCAGATTTAAAGTAGAGTCATAGAGATATGGATTTAAGTCAGGTATGGGCACCAAGTTTTCCCAATGCCAACGAATCTTTCTCAAGACCTCCAGCCAGATAATCTTCAAAAAGCCTAAAAAGTTGGAAGCATTTTGTTTCTTCCCATTATCTGAGGTTAACGAAGCCTCCTCAAGGGTGTATAGCATCATGTTCCATAAAAATGAGCGGTACGGTACAGAAGATCCAGTTTTCAACCGTAGACATAGTTGCTTTGTCGACAAAAATCCCTTTTTGTCGTTTTTATCTTCTTCAATGGGTGATTGCATAGAATCAAACAGTGCATTGATTACGTTATCAACTTGATCTGATTTAAAGAAATTAACCTGCTGGTCTCCGCTTCCCATTGAATGACTGCCTCCTGGTGCAAATAAGTTTCGCATCAAACTTATACTATCGCTGATTGATTCATCATTACTGTCATCATAAGGTGCAAGATACTCTTTATTTGAAGGGTCCTTTACCCACGAATCAATCGCTTGTTCTAATAAGGTGGATAAATAAGCCCGTTGTTGTGATTTGGGTGCAAGTTCACGTGAGATTTGCCATTGCTTTGCTGTTAAAGCATCCATATTTGTTTGATATGCATCATCAAACAGAGTATCTTGAGACAAAGGAAATAATGCACTTAATGTCAGAGTTCTGAGCGGATCGTTTAAAGATCCAAACTGCAATTGATGCATTTCTGTTTCATATAGTAGTTGTATGTTTCCTTTCTTTTCTGATTCTGTCTCATCTTCCTCATCATCATCCCCCCAAGATTCGAAATCGTCGCTGAAGCTTGGTTTTCGTTTTAATACTGGCTTCGTATCTTCCCAAATTTTCCAATTTTCGTCAAACCAATTTTTCAGGTTATAGGTGTATACAGCTGATACCTTAAAATTCTCAATCATATCACCTGATTTGCCTATATATAATTTAATACACATCCAAATAAACCAAAGTCATTGACGAACCATATTCTTCTCGATGCACACAAAGTTTTTGTAAAAAGAGAGTTTTTAATCCGTCCAAATATGATAGTTGTGAGCTTGGTGGGGTTGTGACTGACATGTTGAACCTTACTTCTGTTTCTGTCAATGCGTCATTGGTATCAGAATTCATTTGGTATCCTGTGTACATATCATATCTACAATGTCCTGTTGGTACGAACAGTGGTACTTTGCAGCCCACATTCTGAAAAGCTATGGCACATGCAGATATAACTTGTTTGGCCTGCATCATATCCATGGAAGACTTTCCTCCGTGATTAAAGATCTTTTTTTTTATCGAGTCATTGTTGGGCTCCATAATTAAAATCCTATCCTGGCCTGTCCATCGATGCAACGGGTGATACTGTTGATGGCCAAAATAGTAAAAATAATCTGCGGCCAAAGGGAATCGTTCTTGGTGTTCGCCTTGTAAAGGATGAAGATGATAAGTAAACTGGAAAGAATCTTCTCCAATAATAAGTGTTTCTTTTCTAGTAAATTCTAAAGCTGAGGGATGACTAATGGCAGCTCCGTGGTTTTCTAACTGTTCATTGGAAAATATTCCATACGACCCATCTTTTATTCCCCATGAATATAATGTTTCTTCAATCATGGTGACAAATTTTTCAAAATGAGAAACTGATGTAAAGTCCACAAACTCATAACGTGAAAGATCATCACTATGGTTGGAACTCTGTCGTCGTTTTGATGCCATTTTCCTGCGAAGCGTGTTCGGACGAAAAGCAAAATGCAGGTTTGGAAGCTAAAGATTAAACCTACGCACAAAATTTAGCAGTCCGAAAATCACTCTCGCATAATGAAGTTTGATGTATTTTTGGCCGTATTTTTGCCGCTCTCCCCATACCTGGACTGGCATAAAGGAAATTAAAAATTAGTCTCTTTCCTTTCAGGAAGAAAAAGCTTGCAAGGTTGAACCTGTTTAAAATAGTTACGATCGTTATGGAGTTTTATATTTCTTTTTTTACCAATTTACCTGCTTTTTTTTAAAGCGACAAAACGGCAGCAACGGTTTATCGTTAGATAATACAAGCTCTGAAAATCCAATTAAGTCAATGTTCTTTGCCCCGTTTGTATCGCAATTTATGGTAGTATGTCGTTGCAATCTTGCAGAATACTCTGTATTATAGCAAGCTGGTGTCCATTTAATTCTTTTAAATATGTTATCTCGACGATGGCACTGGAGACGCATTTTTTTGAAGCATGAATTACGGTGGATGGTCGAGCCATATTTATCGACTGTCAGAGTCATATCATTTCGACTGCCTTTAATCGCTATAATACCGGTTTCAAGCTTGAGCGAATGATGCCTTTGATTTTAGTAGCATCACCTCCCCAATTTCGGACAAAATTGACTACCAGTCTTACTCTTGACTTGCTTTCGCTGATAATTTATCATTTTTTTCAAGACAAAACTATAACTGTGCGAAAGCCCTTATAAATCAGCACTGATTAGTCTTACCAGTTGTATTACTTACTATACTCCTTCAAAGACACAAATAACTGATTCGTCGTAACCTTTCTCGTTTATATCTTTATATTTCATTTATCTCATTTGACAACATATAGTCTGGTGCTCACTTTTCATGAACTTTTATCTTACTCTTTATCTTTATTTCATGTTGCCGCTTTTCACTTAAACAAGCCAGTAACAATGTGCACCTAAAACTTGAGACAAGAGCTAATACTGCAGCTGCAGTTACAGTTGCGGTTGCACTAACAAAAGGGTTTTGAATGCAAATTATCACGTAATAGGCCGAAGTTATAACGTTGTGGTTATATTTTCTCTTAGACGAACTATCCGATATGATCTTCTTTGTCTCTTATGACTATTTTTGCTCTGATCAGGAGAATAATTACAGTACATACTTATACAAAAAGACTGTAAAAATTCGCAAATAATGTATACGAAAAATTGAAATGAGAGTTGCATTAGTATGACCTTTAAAGTATTCAGAGAATACATGTAAACCTTGACAAATAATCAGTTGTTGATTACAAAAATTAAATTTCGGTCAATAATAAAAAAATTAGATGGATTTGTAACTAAAACAAAAGATGGGATAAGATTTATTAAATCAAAAAGACAACAATTTTATCAATTAGAGAATTACAGATAAACCAAACTGTTCATGACTCAGACTATCAGACCCAGAACTTACAGACGTAAACAATTTTTCAACCAATAAAAGAGCGCCCACGTGGAAATCACGTGATGTTTAAAATTACTGTTTAAAACCATATATTTTTATTTTAAACGTCAGATGACATCTACAGCCTCTGTAGCTCAGTGGTAGAGCGTTTGTCTTGTAAACAAAAGGTCTGTTGTTCAATCCAGCACCGAGGCAGCTTTTTTTTTGAAAAATTGTGGCGGAGTTTAAATTATATTCAGTATCTTTTGTTTTTTCAGCATTTTTATCGAATAGTTCCAGGTGAGATAAATAATGAATAATTATATATCATAACTCCATTCAAAAAATGAAATAAAAAGGCTATAAAGTCAGTAATTAGATCTTGAAAATCCGAATTGTAACGGTAAATAAGTGATAACTTCATTTAATTTAGTTTATAATGAATCAATTTTTATAGTTAAGTGGAGGCATTATAATCTATTAGCGGAACAATAGGCTTAGTTCAGACATAGAAATATTATAATAAAAGAGTCATCATTTTTTTAAAAGGATTGACCCAATAATGTTAATGATTATCTAAACGCAGTTGCAACATTGTTCTTGCGAGAAGGTTTATAATGACTTATTATAATGATTAGCTCAAGTTCTTAAATAAATAAAAAATTATCAGCCGATGCTTTAGCAACAGACTAAGGAGTGTCATGATTAACCTTACATTGGTAAGATTCCCGGTCAATATATTATTTGTGTTAAAATCAATTTTTTAATATCATAACACGGCTCAAATATTGAATTGTAATTTCACCTTACTGAAGGTTGTTCTATACGATATCTATCGGTAAAATTACGATATATATTACAGCATTGTTATATCATATCCACTCATATAATGCGTTTGACATTCTATCAATGCCATTTGATCCTTTTCTGTATTGAATATTTAGAAAATCTGAATACCTTTTGAGAATTTTACTTTAAGTGTCTTCGATAAGGTGATACTCAAGAATAAGCAGTATAACTTGTTCTTTTTCAATATTCTCTTCGTGCTTAACACATCTACAAACAACAGCGCAAGAAAAATTTAAAGGGCCAATAAAGTAAATTCTTGACAATTTCATCCAAAAGCGTCTCTACTTTGGAACATTTTGGTTTACTTTTGTTGGCAATATACATTGTTCACAAAATATCGTTTTGGTTAAATACACTCTATCAACTTGTGTCTTTACTTAAATCGCTCTACTTATCAATCCAATAGAAAGGTCGCCTAACTACGTCTGTCAACTAGTTCAGCTCAATTTTATCTAATTCTTTCTTTTCTCCTCTTCTATATTTCTTCTTCATTTACAAGTCCCACTTCTTCATGATGTGAGGCCAAAAAATTATTAATTGCACAAAAACGTAAAAAAAAATGCCACTTCATTTCTCGGGTGTTGCAATATCCGTTGAGCGAGACATAACTAAATACTAGATGCAAATGTTGACAAACCAAATATTTTTAATACTCAAAAGTATCATCAGTATGCTCACAAAAAAACCATGTAAATACATTGACAGGCCTCGATCTGACACAAGCAAGCTAAGAATAATAATAATAATAAAAAAGATTCAGCGGAAATGTGATATTGATTTGGAGGTCATTAAAAGGTCTATCAAGGGTGTTATTAAATAAAATGGTGTGTTCCGTAAAAAGATTTGCGGGTATATCTCTCACAAAGTTATCAGATACCAATGATTTTAAATAAAGTTTTGACAGAGGAAAGAATTTTCAGTGGGTATTTTTGGAGAGGCCACTCCCTCAGAAGTGCACTTTTTCAAAGTTTTTGATATACAAGTAATGCTATAACAGTAAGAAATAACCATTACTTGACTTATGCCTCTGTACATAAACCAACTTAACAAAGAGGATGTCACTTATAGTTTTATTGTCATGTAAAAAAAAAAAATGTTAAATCTTGTAATTTCAGGATTCCTAATTTTGTTCGGATCGCATAAATATCATGGATTTTTTTTTTACTGGTAGTCGATCTTAATAACATCAAAGCTTTTCAGCCCCTTCTAAATTTCAATTAGTCTCTCCAAATACAGGGTAAACTCTCTAGTAGCGATATGCTTTGCCCCACAAATGAATTTTATTGACATTTGTTCAGTAGTGTATTTGGTGTTTTATTCAGCTGTCTCAAAAAAATCTTTTGCGATTTTCTAATACATTTTATGAAATGTCAAATATACTTTTTTAAACCGTCTGATTTTAGACTGAGGCACTGTGATATTTGTGCCGACAGTACAGATTTATTTGACACACATTGTAGATTTTTTTAGAAGGTTGCTTGCTACCTACTTTATTTTAGACAACCTATCAAACTATCATAAACTATACAAATATCATAAAATACATACATAAAAAAAAAACCCCTTGCTTACACTTGTGTTTCAATAGCTCACTTAATTCAAGTCTAAAAAAAATGTCTCAACTCCATATTGTAAGATCTGACTATATGTCAAAATTAGCATAAAAAGTGCAGTTTTTTATTAATTCAAAAACCACAGCTGGACATATTTTTACAGATTTTTCCATGACAATAGGTGGTTAGTTATGTTACACTACAGACAAACTGAAGTTTTGTGTTCACCGTCAGCAGAGATTATTTTATATGGCCATCCTCCGAGATAGGGCAAGGCAATTCATTGTCTATTACTCTCAAAGGTTTCATTACTTCCTTAATATGGTTGCTAAACATGCCAATACAATATTGAACACAGCATACATGGAGGCCGGACTAAATTGAGGTTTAATGTCTTTATAATGTCGCACCAGCAATATAAGCATGCATGTCCTTTCCGTAAAGTTTGACTTGGGAAGCTTTGTTTTGATAGGACTGATGTAGAGATGTAAGACAAAATGTGATTAGTACGACATTTTAGAGAGTACGGAGTACACCCTATCCTATAATATGATTAGAAAATGACATATTATCCAAACTAAATGATTGTTATGATTACAGAATTAAGATATCATTGCAACACACAGATGTCAGGTGTGTTTGTTATAAAAAAAAAATAAAAAAACTCCTATTACAACTCCTTTTTCTTTATTTTATTTTATACCCCTCCTTTCATTTTTTTTTCTTTTTTTTTTGCGATGAATGCTTTAATTGCACTACTTCACTTCTGTGAAGTTCATGGGCCCTGCGTAGTTTATTGCACACAAACCATTCACCAAACATCCTCCTCAGGGTCGACGTTGGATATTAACATACCTGCGCTTAAGACGATGAATTTAGATGGGGAAACCGCGGCGTTACCACCTCTACGAAAAAACTCCCTGTGCAGCACACCACAAAAGACGACTTCTTCCGCGACGTGTGCAGCGTGTACGGCGCAATTACCTCTTGTGAATACAGGCCAGAGTATTACAGAGGCCAAAAGTTTATTTACACTTGATCAAGATGATCCCTCCATTAAGTATATAGGAACTAAAGCACCTCAGCAAAATCATTTGTACAAGGCGGTACGACTTGCGTGTGTGAGGAGGTAGCAGCAGCAGTAGTAGTAGTAAAAGTGAGATTTTTATTCTATCAAGCTAAATTTCTTCTGTTTGCAGTTTGACGGCGGAATTTTGTCAGGGAAGGGATGGACCAGTTTTATTTGGGGATGATGAAAATGGATATGTCATGAGTTACATGTTTAAATTACGAGATTCACAGGCAAGAGGAGAAGCAAGATTCTATTCGTTAATGATGTTGATGACGGATCGAGTTTATTTAATATCATGTTGGCCTTTTCTTGTCAGGTGGGTGGGTTAAATTATACTCAGATGTTTTCTTTGCCTGACATTCCATGTAGTGCTTTTAGATCGATGGCATTGAATTTACAAGAAAGGGCAAATACGGTATTTCAAAAAGAAAAAGAAAATAATAGACAACAATCCTATCATTCATCCATCACCAGACGTACTCCCATATCATCACAAGATCCTTTTTTTAGACGGAAAAGTAACACTGCATTAAGATCACTCGTTGACTTATTAGGAATCAAGGTACGGAAAGAACCCAACAATGCGCATTTTCGTCTATTCACTTTTTCTCTTTTCTACATTTCAGGATATTTATGCACAAATTCAAGCACAATTCAGTTACACTTTGAAATTATCTTCAAGAAAGCGAATGGAAAAATTAACACTTGGCAGAAGTGAAAGTGCTCTTTATACCAAACTGGTAAGAATGTCTATTGGCCTGTATCAGCTTTAGTTAACACTTGTTCATTCATCCATCTTTAGAAGGCCGAATATCAAGCCAAAAAAGAACAGAGACTACAGCAACAACAGTCAAAAAAATAAGAGGTCACGCGGTCAGATGTCCGCTTATCAGATCCTTTTTTAATATTTGTTTATTTGTCTATATATATTCACACGCACGCATACCCTATTATATTTATATTCCTTTCTCCTCTATTTTTTTTTAAAAAAAAATAATGCTATTGTTAAACTACGCCGTTCTATTCTCTTTGCTGCTGATAGTTGTGACCGCTCAACCTGTCAATACCCTTCAATCTATCCAAGTAGCAGCACAATTAGCGCGAAAGATCGTATCGGATGCAGGTAAGTTATTCCCGCTCACTTTTTGTTATTAATTACTAAAAGTCTGTTTAGGTCGTGGCACAATATTAACCTTGATGGATGAATCTGTATCGCCTGAATTCAGTGGATTTCCCTTTGGTATTATGGAGTATTACAGTGACAAATGTTCAGAGGATGGTAATTTATTATTGTTCATGTCGGATTTACAAGTAAGTGCCCATTTTATATATAATTTTTTTTTTTTTTTGCTCTGTACTCAGTAGACAATAGATGAGTGCTAGAAATATGCACCAAGATTCAGAAAGGGTCGGTTTCACGGTGAATGCTCTAAAGGACTACAATCCATACTTTGGCAATCACTCAACACCTGTTCAACAACCCAGATTTACATTATTCGGCAAGATGGAAAGGGTACCCGAGTCCAAGGTAAAAAAAAAGAGAGAGAGAGAGACCCTGTGATTCATTATTCTAACCTTTAATATAGTCTGAAGAGGCCATGTCATGTTTTACGGAAACGCATCCTGAAGCCAAACCATGGTAACAATAAATAACAACGGCCTCTTTAATGTGTACTAACTCTAAGTTTAGGAGGAAGTTTCATGATTTCAACTTTTACGAGTTCCAAGTCAAAGGGATGTATTATGTGGGTGGATTCGGAGGTATGAATTACATCGGTTGGATACCTGCAGAGATCTATCACGATGCGAAATCACCATCATTTTTAATTCAGAATTGAATCTCCTACAGTTTATTTGCCCTCCTTTTCCCGAGTGAACCCATTTTTTTTTTTTTTTTTTTTTTTCAATAGAGAATAAACGAATTCTTCTTTTCTATTCAACTAAACACATACACATTGAGTTACACTTCATTTAAAAATATAAGTCATATCATGCTTATGAAAAAGAAACCATACACACACGCACACACACAAAAAAAAAAAAGAATGGCCTGGGGGGTCTAAAAAAACTCAGCTAAAAAAAACATTTAAATATTTTTTCTTTGTTATCTTTTTCCGTGTTTCCCCTCTTTTTCTCTTTTTAACCCCCCAAAAAAAAAAATGTTTAGACTTGCCACTACCAAATCTCCTTTGGCTAACGTAAAAGAATCAGAAAAGGAGAAATATTGACATGGTAACTAATTCCTTTCTTAGATTGCCGCTCGTCATGCTACCGTAAAGACTGTTCGTGCTCCAGTAGCCAACGCCTTTTATCGTTTCTATTCTACAGGTAACGATTGAAAACATTGATACGTTTTCCTTGGCTAAAATATACGTTAACAGGTACAGAATACGATGTTGTTGTTATTGGTGGTGGACCTGGTGGTTATCCTGCCGCTATCAAGGCTGCTCAACAAGGACTCAAGGTAAGACGATTGAATACAAAGAGATGAAAGGAGGGGGAGATATTAAAAAGAAAAGAAATATAGGTAGCTTGTATTGAGAAGCGTGGTTCTTTGGGTGGTACTTGTTTAAATGTCGGTTGTATTCCTTCCAAGGCCATGTTGAATAACTCTCACATCTATCACCAAACTCAACATGACCTTAAATCTCGTGGTATCGAAGGTAAGCAAGGAAACAAAACTGTATAGAATTTGGGAGAGGAGATATTTAATTTTTTATGTGTGCAGTGGGTGATGTAAAGTTGAATTTGGATAACATGCACAAGGCTCGTCTTAGAGCAGTTGGTGGATTAACCAAGGGTGTTGAATTTTTATTCAAGAAATACGGTGTCGATTACGTTAAAGGTACAGGTTCTTTCAAGACCGCCAACGAGATTAATGTGCTTAGTTTGGATGGTAAGTCCACTTCTTCATTAAAGGCAAAGAATATTGTGATTGCTACTGGATCTGAAGTCACACCTATTCCCGGTATTGAGATTGATGAGAAGCGTATCGTTTCTTCTACCGGTGCTCTTGAACTTGCTCAAGTGCCCAAGAAAATGGTTGTAATTGGTGCTGGTGTCATTGGTCTTGAATTGGGCTCTGTTTGGGCTCGTCTCGGTGCTGAAGTCACTGTTGTCGAATATCTCGGTGCCATTGGTGCTGGTATGGACCCTGAACTTGCCAAGGGTTTCCACAAGTTATTGACCAAGCAAGGCATGAAGTTCAAGATGAGCACCAAGGTAAACGGTGCCAAGATTGACGGTGATGTTGTCAAGGTAGAAGTAGAAGCTTCCAAGGGAGGAAAGGCAGAAACAGTAAGTAAAGGATCCAATGCTATTTTCACCCTTATTGACTTCAAATCTATATTAGCTTGAAGCTGATGCTGTTTTGGTTTCTATCGGTCGTCGTCCTTATACTGTTGGTCTCGGTTTAGAGAACATTGGTGTAGAGCTTGATAACCGTGGTCGTGTTGTGATTGATGCTGAATTCAGAACCAACATTCCTCATATTCGTTGTATTGGTGATGTTACTTTTGGTCCCATGTTGGCCCATAAGGCTGAAGATGAAGGATTTGCTGTCTCTGAAATGATTGCTACTGGTCATGGTCATGTCAACTATGATGCTATCCCCTCTGTTATTTATACCCATCCTGAAGTTGCTTGGGTTGGTAAGAACGAAAGTCAATTAAAGGAAGAAGGTGTCAAGTACAAGACTGGTAGTTATCCCTTTGTTGCCAACTCTCGTGCACGTACCAATGATGACACTGATGGTATGGTTAAGGTGATTACAGATGCTGATACTGATCGTATCTTGGGTGTTCATATTATGGGTCCTAACGCTGGTGAAATGATTGCTGAAGGTGTTCTTGCTATGGAGTATAACGCTTCTGCTGAAGATATTGGTCGTACTTGTCATGCTCATCCTACCTTATCTGAAGCCTTCCGTGAAGCCTGTCTTATCGCTTCTTTCGGTAACGCCATTAACTTTTAATTCTTTTTTTCCCCTCGCCTTCTTTTTGTACAGAAATATACAGTAAAAAAAAATAATAATAAAATACGTCCTTTTTTTTTTTATTATCAACATTCAAGGAAATCCGCCGTCATTAACGTTTCTAAAACAACTTCTGGGTCTACTTTGAACTCAGGAATCTCCTTTGAGGAGCCTTCGTATTTCCATTTGTAATATAAATATTGGCATACAATCTCCAAAATGTTGGCTCTATAGAAAAAAAAAAAAAAGTGTGCTGTTGTTAAAAGACAGAAAGAAGGGATGCATATATTTCTTGAGTTTTACTTAATGTCTCTAAAGGTGATTTCGTTATCAACGGATTCTCTAAATTGAACTAGGAACGTTTACGTTAAAATACTACGTAACTCGAATAGCGCGTCCCAAACACTCACCAGGACCACACAGCATGTTCTTGATGGTACCGGAACGAATAGCCGCTTCACGGTGAATTATAAACTCAAAGCCATCACTGCTAATCAGCTTGACATACTCAGAATCACTTTCAGTCATTTCTTTGTTGTATTTGAAAAAAAAAAATAGAAAAGTAAAAGAGAAGAAAGATAACCGGAGCGTTTTTTTTAAAGTGAATATTTTAATTTAATTTTTTAATGATATTTTAGCTGAGAGGTAAAAAAAAACAAAAATTTATGCAGTCTTTGTGAATTCAAGAACAACACCCTTTTCCTTCAAAGACTTTTCGGCTTCCTTCTTGGCCCAAGAAACAACACTAAAGAAAGAGATTAACCTTTGTTTCTTTATGCATTCATCAATGTCTAATTACCTGGTGTCGGGCTTATAGTACAAGGCAACGGCCATGGCAACAAATCCACCACCCATACCAATGTAGTAAATGTTTTCCCAATCTTCCTTTACACGGACCTATATAACCCACACCACCATTAGTCTCTCTATCTTGCATCAATGCTGTATTTGTAATTTCGACAAAAAAGTGTATATAATCGTAAAAAAAAAAGATCATTGTGTCAACCTCTTCCTTTTTCTTTTCCTTTCTATTTCCACTCTTTTAAAAATATTCGGCATGCTTTCCCCCGATGTCGGATTCCTGTCCAAGTCGATCATATACACTTTCTGTCTACTTTCTTAATGTGGAAGGGAATGTCGATTATTTACCTTTTCAGCGAAAAGATATCCTCCGGGTTCGTTGTAAGAAGGAGTACCGTGACCTCCACGACGAAGAGTGTTAGTGGGACGAGCAAGTCTGGCAGAACGTGCAATTATTTTAGAAATCATTGTAAGGATAAAATAACTTTTTTTTTTTTTTTGGTAAACCAGAAAAATTGCCCCTAAACAACCTTTCCCCCTCCAAAAATTGAAGTGATGATGTCATCTTTTTTTTTCTTTTTGGTATATCGGAGTATTTCCTTTTTTGATCTTTCTTTTGGTGATACACTCGCAGGCACAAAAAAAAAGGGGGGGAAGTTGTCCATTGAGCGTTTCATCCAATGACAGCATAGCATGAAAACAAGTATATAACTCGCATAATCGATAATTCATTTTCATTGTTTATCAAACAAAAAAACATCAAAAATGACTGCTGAAAATATTACTCATACTACCTGTGAAATCGCCTTTGAATTAAAGGATGGTCGTCTTTTGGCAAACAATCAAGATGTCGCTTATATCTTGCCTAGTGATGCTACTGAAGTCGCTCGATTGCAATTGAATCATAACTTGTGGAAGTAAGTATTATCTAAAGCATTGATCGTTAAATCTAGTTGATATTAACATTATTTTGAAGGAATCTCGTAGGAGGGTAAACATCCATGGCAACAAGAATGCACGAAAATTTGTTACTAATTGAAAACTCACTTTCTTTCTTACAGTCTTTACAAGTCTGAAATGCATGAAAAGTTAACTCAAGGTGCTCGTGTCTTGGACATTGGTTGTGGACCTGGATGGTGGACTCTGGTAAGCTTTTTATTGCAACCCATAAAAATCAAACTAACTTTTCTTCTAAAGGATATGGCTCGTTTATACCCTAATTCCGAGTTCATCGGTATTGATATGGCCGACGTTTTTTACACGCAAGACAAACCCGCCAATGCTTCCTTCAAAATAATGAACGCTGGTACAGGAATGGATTTCGAGGATGCGTCCTTTGATTTTGTTTTCCAACGATTCTTGGTGATGGGATTTCCCACTGAGCAATATCTTTTATCCATCAAGGAAATGAAACGTATTTTAAAGCCGGAGGGTTCCATTGAGCTCTTAGAATTAGTCAATCATTATAATAATGCGGGTCCTGCCTTCAAGAATATCAGTGACTGGAGTAAGTAGACGTTTATCCCTTTCTTTAAAGTTACTTTTACAACATGCTGACACAATTTTTTTTTTTGTAAAAAAATTAGTCAATCAAGCTTTGGAGGCTAGACATATGGATTCATTCATCGCTGATAAAATATCCACTTATCTTTTGGATGCAGGTTATGCCAACATCCAGGATATCACTTACAATGTGCCCATTGGAAGCTGGGGCGGTGAACCCGGAGAGATGTTCTTGGCTGTTCAAAAAATGGCTCTCCCTGCAGTCAAGGTCATGGTTACTGAATTGACAGAAGTTACGAGTGAAGAGTACGACAAAAATTTGGAGCTCGCCTTTAAAGAAGCGGATGAACGTCAGATTTCTACTAGATTCAGATTAATTTACGCTACTAAATAAAGTTTGCTTACATATCAGTATCACTCCTTTATAATACTAATAAAAAGGCTTTAAAGATTTTAAAGTTGGTATAACAATTAAACATATATAAACAGTAATCATCCCCTTTTAGAAAAGTTTATTTTTAAAAAACCAATCTTCCATTCATTCTGATCGTATGGGTGTGACAAAGGCTGCATATCATGTGGAACCGAGAAAAAACAAAAAAAAGTCTAAATTTGGCTTTAAATCGCAAAAAGTTTAAAGGTATTTGAACCATGTCAAATCAGGCAGTATTGCAATTTAGATTCATAATTTTTTTCATATTCGTGTTGGATTTTCCAAGGAAAGAGAAATGTGTTTGCTTATTATCAGGGCTATTTCATATTTTATAAAAATTACGATTTTAGATTTTTCAATGATACAGAATGTGTTTATTACAATGGTTTGAGAATGATTAATTATCACGACTCATGTAATGTGCACAAATTTCATGGTCACTCATGGTAGATACATCCGTTTCTTTATCAGGAACCAAAACAAAACACGATAGAGTTGGACTGATCAGATCAAAAGCTAAGACTAAATAATTCAATGATTTGCAAATGACATGAACACTTGCATTGTTTTTCTGACGCAGTCTAGACATGTATTCCTCCTCTTCTATTGGAATAGCACGCGGTGGATTTAGAAACTCGGGTATGTGCTCTATATCATCTGTATCAATGACAATATCTTCCCATCGTGTTCGAGTCGGATTACGTATCTTGCATCTAAAAAACATTTCTTCATTTTCGGTTGTCAAGTGAACCAACATGTTTGTCGGTAATCGGAAGTAGGATACACCATCAATCATATAGTTTCTTAGGTTCAAATAGCGAAAAGACGTCCATGGCATGTCAATCACACTATCTAACGAGAGCGGGGTATCCAAGATTTTGGAGTCACAACTTACATGCCTCAACCGAAGTCTTTTGAGAGAAGGGAGTCGTTCTGATATTTGTGACATCGTATCCATAGAAATGAGCACATCTTCAAGAATCAAATCAGTAATGGTGGTATTGCGAAACACATATCTGCTATACTTGAATAAAGAGAACAACTTTGATCGATAGTAATGTAATACTTTAAGTTTGGTGCAATATTCGATCACATGACCGAAACAAAACCCATCCATAAGATTGATCGAATTTTCATTGGGGACATCAACTCCTTCTTCATAAAGATAAAGTGGAATGTGTTTATGGTTTACGGACAGTACAAGATGATCAATCTGTTCCCCACATTTCTCTAGCACCATAAGATGTGGAAGAGTAGGTTCAAGCCAAGGATAATCTACCAACGTGACACTCGATCCAAGTAACGAAGGTACATCCATACGTATCCGGACCATGTCTTCATTATGCTCAATCATATTGAATCGTCTTCTTGCGCGGCCTTCAAAATACGTTATTGTTACCACTTTTGGATTCTCGGGGTTACATAGGCTCCAATAATTGGGCAAGATGTCACCAGGATCTTGTGTCGTGTAAAGCAAATCCATTAAATGATCTTCACATTTCGAAACAAAGGCCATAAATTTAGATAGAACCGGTACAGAAAAATTGTCGCACACTAGCTGAATTTCGTCCAATCTAGCACCATGGATTTGTGCGTTATTCTTTTGATTGATGGTCACGCGTTGAAGTTTTGGAAATTTTGTCATTAGATACAATAAAAAGTTGTCATTTTCATAGGAGGTGAGTTGTATAACAAGATTTTTAATATTCGGACGTGGTGTAATCAATGATAAATTAACAGGCTTGTAAGGAGTCAGAGAATTAAAGTCAGTATCCTTCAAGTTTTCGTAACACAACGTATCAAGACCCGGTATTATTTCAGTAGCATAGTCTGCATATTCAAAGAAACTGTATTGATTTGTTGTCATATAAAGTTTCTTCAGTCTAGGAAAGAGATGAAGATGATCATACAAACTACAGGTTTCGTTTTCTTTGTCATCGCAAAGATGAAGTGTTTTGAGCGTATCTTTATTCAACATGGCACACGCATTATGGCTATCGGCAAACTCTTCTGGGCATTTTCCAATGCATTCCATCCCTTTCCATTTTCCTGATCCAAACGCTTTAATCAAGATCCAAAAATAGGACGAGTCCTCTTTTGCCAATGAGATATTGCGGACATGGGGAAAAATTTCGACAAATGAATCTATCCACGGTGTCTTTTTTACTCCACCTTCTTTCTTCCCGAACAGATACTCAAATATTTTACGACAAGTGCGGGTGTCTTTTGGGTTTTCGTTTGTGTTATGTTCATTGTTGTATACTACGGACCGAGTGAATTTCCCAGGAATCGAGTTTGGTCTTTTTGTAAGGGCGCGAATTAAAGTATCGACCTCTTTCTCGCTACGGAACTCAATATCAGTGTAGAGAGACCGCTGAGCTGGTATCATCCATGCTTTACACACAAGCTCGCATTGTAAAAGGCTATAAAAATCAGATTCTTCACGAATAATTCCAAATATCACATCCAGTATATCATCTGGAAAATTTAAATGTCGGCCCATTTTTTTATGTAATAAGAAAAGAAGTACAATATGTTGACTCGATTTTAAATTGATTTATCTATTCGCATAGAAAACTTTAATCATAATTAGACATACCGATAAAGAACCCCCTCCCACTCAAAGAAAAAAAAATTGAAATGTTTAACCACATGCTCACAAGACTCAGTAAAACCCAAATGAATACATTTGGCATATTAAAGTGTAATAAAGAGACCCCTTTTGTTCTCATTATACTACCAATGTACAGGCGGCATAGTTTCAACAGTACATATAAGCCTAAATTGTCATTGTTTTTATTAGCCAATAACATTCGTTTATAGTATTCGAATAACGCTTTTCTCAGGGACAGCCAAAGTGCATGTAATCACAATGTAAAATCTTGTGACTTAGCCGACCTTGAGACTTGAGAACAAAAATATACGGCTAGAAAAAATGTAATTGTTATGCATGAATACATAATGAGCGGTTTATACTTCTCGCAATTCTACTGCTACTATTTCACTCTTGCGCTCGTATTCTTCACCTTGGGCAGAAATATTAAGCCAAGTCCAAAACAAATACCGAAAGTAAGCTAAAAATTGCTCAGATATGATTACCGTATGTTTATTGTAATGAATTTTCTTTTGATCAAGGCAATAAACTAAATTGATCTCTCGGTGTCAGTTGAAGTATCAGATCCTATCTTACGACTACGCGCACCCGAGTGTACATAAGGAAAACTGACTGTCCTTAAGAGACCCGTAAAAAAGAAAAGAGAAAGATGTAAGGTTCATTTATTCACTACATTTAAAAAAGGCTGTGCCAAATTTGCAATATTTATAATGGTGTCTCTATCAGAGTCGATTACCCATAAGATGATTTTCTCTCCCGTAATGCTCGCGCAAATTTCGTTCTTCAAGTGGAGATAAATTTGTATTGGAATCTCCATTTACCATTAATACATAGCATGCTAACTCGGGATTAAGTTCTTTCAAAGACACCACCAAATAATCGATCGACTTGCAATTAACCTGTAGGCTTAAACATTGATACTCTCTATATTTGTCCAAATACTCTGCTTCCGTTATTGCTATGGCTCGGGTAATTTCTAAATCTTCTTCATCATCAAAATCTTCTACAAGTCTCATGGAATGCAGATGATCCATATCCTTTGCCAAAACAGAACGATAAAATGAAACTCCTTTGGCGGTCGTCAATTTAATTTGAATTAAATTCGGGAGTAAAGTCTTCTTTTCTTCGTCAAGTAAACAATCTTGCGCATAAAGAAACCGGAGTGTGGCCAATGGCATGTCGATAACACTTTTAAGTTCTGAGGTGATTTGGTTTGTAACGCTTTTATCGTAGTAAATATGTCTTAAAATAATTCTTGTCAAATTGGGAAGAAGGTATGATACTCTTCTTAAAGTGTGTTGACATACAGCTACTTGTTCAAGCGTCAAATCAGTAATGAAAGTGTTGATTGGAAAATTACGGACAGAATCATACCAGACAATATGCGTTTGCAAAACACGAAGCGACTTCAATTTTGTACAATGTTGGATTATATGACTGAACCATTTGCCCTCCACCATGCGCATTAGCTCTTGATCGTCTTCAATACGTGTATCTCTATAGTAGACTTGACCGATACAAGCCACAAGATGGTCAAGCTCTTTTCCAGCTTTTTCGATTAGTCTGAGGTGAGGGAAAACGGTGTTACATAATTTGTAATCGATTATCATTGAATTTGACAGTGTTCTATAATCCGCACTCATGTAAATGTGTGCTAGAGTGTCGCTGTTTGAACGTTGTGTTTCCGTATTTCGCCAAGATTCTGATCCTTCTGCATAGGTTATTGCTAACATTCTTGGTCTTTTAGGGCCACACAAGTCCCAGTATTTGAGGAAAATCTCATCAGTATAAAGTGTTGTGTATAACAAATCTGTCGAGTGAATCGGACATTGAGAAACAAACAACATAAATTGAGATAATACATTTACAGAGAAATTGTTCTTTGAAGATTTGATTTTTTTCAAGAGCACATCGTTCGACATGATTGCACTACTAAGATCGTTTATTTGGAGACTTTGTAGTTTGGAATACTTCTTCATCAGGTACAACAAGAAGTTGTCATTCTCATAAGAGGCAGCTTCAATGACAAGACTCTTAACTCCAGGCTGAGGTGTAATGAGCGAAAGATCAACAGGCTCGTATGGTGCTAAAGTACCAAAATTGGTGTCCACCAAAATATCGTAATGAACCTTGTTTAACTTGTGCATATGCTTTGTGACATGTTCTGAAATTTCATAAAAGTTGTACCTGTTTGTACCAATGTATATCTGCTTAACATTAGGAAATAATTCTAGCTGGTCGTATAAATTAGAACCATTGCTAATTTTGTGGCTATCATGAACATGCAAAAGGGCCAAAGTTTCCCGGTGTAGCAAGGCGCAAGCGTTGTGACTAGCTACAGAATCCTCGGCGCAGGTTCCAATACTTTTCAAATTTTGCCACATTCCTAGATTGTGTGCTTCAATTAATGTCTGATAAAACTTGGTGTCATCTTTTCCGGAAAAAATATGACGTACATTAGGAAAAAATTTAATAAACAACTTTATCCATGGACGCGTGTCTTCGTCTTCAAAATCTTCATTAAACACGAGAGATTGTGTAAATTTTCCTGGCAATCTATTTTTTTTATCACCCATAATTTTCAATAATGTTCTTATTTGGCTTTCACTCTCTAGTTGTATGACCAAGTAAAGAGCACGTTGAGCAGGCGTCTTCCATTTTTTACACACAAGTACACACTGACAAATGGAATACAAATCAGTGCCTCGACAGTCCACATAGGCAAAGATAACGTCTAACAACTCCCCTGGAAGATCCATAATACAACTCTTCATTTGGATAAAATAAATAAGGCGAGGTTAATTTTTTTAATGACCTTTAAATAGTCTAATGAGTGGCAGACACTCAACTATTAATGAGACCATTAACAATATGCTTAAAACCAGACACCTCTTTTAAAAATAATGAGAATGACATAAAGTGGGAGGTTGTATTGTATCTTTTTAAAAAGCTTATTAATAGAAACAAAGACCTTCAATTCAAGTTTCTGTCAAATAAAACATGAGTGTTATATGTGAATTTTTTTGGGACAAAATGTACCTCGTAGTGTTTAGTCTTAAAAGATTACAAAGACATTTGGATACATGAATAAATCAATTGTTCTTTATGTCTGCAAAGTTTTATTTCAAATTACGAGATTAAATGTACCCCTTCCATACTGTATAAACACTTTTAGTTTAAATGGCCACGACTGTATTAGTTTTACACGTAGCGGGTTGTCCAGGGACCAAACAAGCTAGAATAGAACTGACTTTTTCCAGATGCACTTTTAGCAAAGTGAACGACTTGCAAATAACATGAAGATTAAAATAACTAGCATCACCCAATTCAATATTATAATCTTTTTCGTTTACTTGAGTCGATAAATAGAAAGTCGCATCTTTTGGTTTTGGGTTGTAATCGTATTGTCCGTTTAAGCCATTATCCGCAAACATAACATTTTCGTTTGGCACAAATTTGTAGTATTCTGTATTATCAGTTGTTGAAATTTTGATGAGTATCTTGTTTGGGTAGTCGGAAGAACAGACATCTTCTAATAAATAGTTTTGAACAAATAAAGACTCAAAAGATGTTGATGGCATATCAATAGTACGGTTAAATTTGGAGGCTGTGTCCTTTTCATTATTATCATTGAGATACACACCCTTCATGTCTAGTTTTTTTAAGGAGGGTAGCATACGTGATATATGCAATAATGTATCCTCAGAAATAACTACCTCTTCCAGGATTAATTCAGAAATAAATGTATTAGTAACCGAAAACTGATTGGGATCAAATGAAACAATACACGCAGCGCGTATGCTGAGTGATTTAAGACTGGTACAATTTGTAATAATATGATTAAAGAAACCCCCGTTGGCTATAGCTATCATTTGCGGATTTCGATTTACGAGGATACTTATATATTTTTGACGATTCATACAAAGCAAAAGATTCTCTATCTCCCTTCCAGCTTTTTCAACAACCTTCATGTGCGGCAATTCAGCACCTTCTGAGTCATAATTAAACCTCAAGAGATTAAAATTTAATTCAGGATCGCTATTCATACCAATTGACACCTGGGGATTATAGCTATTTGTTTCTACTTCATGTTGTTCCCAATCTTCAATTCCTGAATAAGTAAGTCCGATTGTTTTTTGATTTTCGGGATTACATAATTTAAAATAGTTGTTCAGAAGCTCTGCAGCATCAAGAGTCGTATAAAAACACTCCACCACATGGACAGGGCAGTCTGAAATAAAAGCCATGAATTGAGATAGTACTTTCATAGAAAAGTTGTTTCGTGCCAACTTAAGTTTTTTCAAAAACTGATGGTTATGAGAGACAAATTCCATTCCAGAATTGATTTTAAATATTTCAAGACTTGGAAACTTTGTCATCAAGTATATTAAGAAACTGTCACTCTCAAAAGACATGGCGTTAACCGTAAGAACTTGAAGACTGGGAAGCGGTGTAATTGTGGATACTTCAACAGGCTGATAAGCCCTTAAATTATCAACATTTGTCGCAGTTAAATATCCGTAACACAAAGATGTCAGTCCTGGAATGCTTTTGGTGATATACTCTACTGCTTCAGAAAACGTATAATTGTTGGATTTGATATCTAGCGATTCCACGCTGGTAAATAGACTTAACTTGTTGTATAATCCACTATTAATACTTTCGGTGTCTGTGTCTATTACAATAAGATCTTTGAGGGTTTTTTGGTAGAATAAAGCACATGCATTATAATTGGATAAAAAATCGATAGGACAAGGTCCTATGTTTTCCAAATAGTTCCATTTTTCCGAATTAGGCGTATTGATCAAAGTTGAATGGAAGTCAAATTCTGGATCATCAAAACAAACATGGCGTACATGAGGGAAAATATCAAAAAACAAACCGATGTACTTATTTTCTTCCCCATTTTTGTCAAACCCACTGCATACAAGTTGTCGGGTAAACTTTCCAGGGCATGAACTTGATTTATCGGTCATAGAACAAACCAAAAGTTTTATCTGCTTCAAGCTTTGAAGTTCAATGGAAAAGTACAAAGATCGTTGAGCTGGTAACCTCCAGTTTCTGCACACAAGTTCACATTGAAAAAGGCATTTTAGGTTAGAGTCCAATCGCAAAAATGTAAAAATAAGGTCCAAAATCTCTCTTGGCAAACTTTTATAGCCACTTTCCATAATAATAATAATAATAAAACTAATTCTATGGTGTTTTTTTATATAGTTTTATATCATATGGGATATTAAAGAGCCCGAAAAAAAAAAAATAGACAGAATAAATTACAACACTTCATCGGAATTTTTAACGCGGGCAAGAATACGAGGATTTATGTTACTCATTAAAACATAAAATGTTCTCAAATAAATGGAAATATGGGTTCGTTGTTAAATGTTTGAATCAACCAACAAAGGGTACAAAAAAACTCTTGTAACTGACTTAAAAATTTCAAAGAGGCCAAACTGAGATACAGTTGTCTAGATTTATAAAAAAATAGTATGACACAAAGAATGTTTATTATGATACCACGAATGAAAAAATGAATGGAGGGAAGATACATTGTAAATTAGTTTACAAAGTACTCATGTATCTCTTCTTTGCTCATCAATGACATGTCAACGGAAGTATCATTATTTTGTATAACAATAGAGCAGCCGAAATCGGGATCGATTTTACTCAAAGATATTACCAAATAGTTGAGCGATTTACAACGAACGTGTACAGTTGAGCAACCCTCGTCATTAAATCCAGAAGTGTATTCTTCTTCGTCTACGGGAGTAGCTTGATCAAAGTATTCTGTTTCTGGTTTCTGTGCATATTCTTCATCAGATTCATCGTCAGATGAGTTGTAAGTAAAGCTTGACTCCCCACATGGCGTACATTTATAGTATTTGTTGAAATCTTTAACAGTTACCCTAATGAAGAGCTTAGCGGGGTAATCAGAATCACAAACACCATCTAATAGATAGTTCTGAACTGACAAGTATTTAAATGATGTTGACGGCATATCAATAGTGCTGTTAAACTTGGGCGCCAAAATATTTATGTCCTCATGATTACAATGAATATTTCTTAAATACAATTTCTTTAAGGAGGGGAGCTTAGCAGAAAGCTGCTTCAGGATGTCTTCGGAAATTACCACTTGTTCAAGAGTCATTTCAGTGAGTAATGAATGCTCAAATAGGGATCGAGTAAAGGAAAGTGAAATAATTCTCGCTTTTTGTACTTTCAAACTCTTGAGACTTGTGCAGTTTTCAATAATATGACTGAAAAACTTTCCATTAACCATTTCAATTGAGTTCTGATCTTGACCACTAAGCACATCTTCATTTTTCTCAGATCCCACACAGAAAGAAAATTGGTCCAAACCTTTTCCAGTATTTTCCAAAACTCGAAGATGCGGGAATATAGCATTACAGGGTTCGTAAGTAAAGATCAGATTTTTTTCTTTTAACAAATTCATATTCATGCTCATGTGTGACAAGGAGTTACAATCTGCAGGATGCACATCAGTTTCAGGCCAATCAGCTCCTTGCTCATAAGTTACGGAAACATTTTTTGGCTCACCAGGACTGCATAAATTCCAATAGCCATTTAGAACTTCATCGACATTCAACGTGGTGAAGAACAGATCTACTGAATAAGATTCACATTTCGCTAGAAAGGCCATAAATTTAGAGACAACAGCTACCGAAAAGTTGTTTTGTGCTGACTTTATTCTATCCAACATTGGGGTGTAAGCTATATTATCCTTGTTTCGGTTAATATATATACGCTGAATTGACAAAAATTTAGCCATTAAGTACAATAAGAAGTTATCATTTTCATAGGAGATTGACTGGATGATGAGATATTTTAGGCTGAGTTGCGGAATTATCAGAGATATATCAACAGGCTTATAGGGAGCTACAGTAACAGAGCAGGTTGTTTCCGTGTTCTCAAAAAACAGACCATGTAATCTTGGTATAGCTTTAGCAGTATCCTCGGCAGTTTCGAAAAAATTGTGCAAATTTGTGTCCACATATAATCTCTTTACCTTGGGAAACATGTCGAGACGTTCATACAAACTAGTATCCATATTTATCTTCTTACTATCACGCACGTTTAAAGCTGTAAGAGTGTCTTTGTATAATAACGCACAACTGTTATGGAGGTTTGCGCTCTCTCTGGAACAAGGCCCTATGCTTTCTATATCTTTTAATTTCCCCAATCTATGTGCCTTAATTAAGGCTAGATAATACCGAAATCCTTGTATATCACTGAAAACATAACGCAAGTTCGGAAAAGCGTCGATGAATAAATTAATCCAAGAAGTACCATTCCCTCCATCCACTTCGGAACGTCCATGGTAAGCAAGAGATCGTGTATATTGTCCTGGACATGAGTCAGATACATTGTTCATGGCAATTCTCAACCTTTCAACCGCTTGTTCATCTTTAAGTGTAATGGTAGAATACAGAGATTGCTGAGCTGGCGCCATCCAACTCTTGCAGACCAATTCGCATTGAAGAATATCATAGTATTTTCGATCTACGTATACATGAGCAAAGATTTTGTGTAATATAGTTTCTGGCAAGTCTTCAAAGTTTTTCATCATTGATAAATAAAATGTTTGGTAGTTTAAAGTGTATTTTATCTGTACAATCGGTATTTATATACTTTGACTACAATGAAACGAAAAAAGGCAATATTTTGCTTTTTGGTAGTGGTAAAATACGGTATTAGGTTTCTAATTGATACAGATATCCATACATGTGACTAATTTGGTTTTAAAAATAAACTATTTGATGATTAAATCTGGATTCTTTCTTTGCTTAATTTAAAAATATCAATATTTCATTGTCTTTTATTATACATGGATATTAACAAAGATATCTTTATTTAAGAACAAAGACTTCATAATTATTGTACTTTTTAGCAGATTGAGCCAATTGTTTTTGGCGTATGCAAAATTTATACATTTTAATCGATTTATTTGTGATGATCTTTATATTTAAGCACTAAAATTGCATATAGTATGATCTCTGTTTTTTATCACTCTCGAAATACGTATTGTCGTCCCTATCCGGTAATACGATACAGCAGGTTAAAATTGGGTTTACCTTCTTCAGCGAGACCTCCAAGTAATTGACTGAATTACATAGAACATGAAGATTTGCACAAGTTTTACTTCCCAAGCCATTATAATATTCGTCTTCACCTATATTAACAGCACGATTATGAGATGTATTATTAAATTTTTTCTTCTCCTTGTTGGTCCATTCAATATTTAGGCCAATGTAGCTTATTTCTTCACCAGGTGCATATTTGAAAAATCTTTCACCATCTACGGTTGTCAGCTTTATAAGAATTTCAGTGGGGTATTCATTTATAGAAAGGCCATCCACAGTGTAGTTTTCAATGTGCAAAAACCGAAATGTTGTCAACGGCATATCAAGTACACTGTTAAAATATGGATCTACATATTTATCGCTGTTTTTGACAAGATGTATATCTTTTAGAATAAGCCTTCTTAAATTTGGTATTATTGTTGATATTTGAAACAAAATAGTGTCCGAAACACCCACATAATTAAGATCCAAATATGTAATAGATCTGTTGAATGATTGATCCGGGTTTAACATGATTATTTCCGCCAGTGTGATATGTAACGTTTTTAATTTAACACAATATTGAAGTATGTGACTAAAAAAATAGCCTTCAATCATATCGAGCATATCTTCATCATCTAAATCTTCAGTTATACTTAAAATCTTCTTCGGTCCAATACGCATCACTAACTGTTCAATTATTGCTCCGTTCTTTTCAAGTAGCCCAAGATGTGGAAGAATAACTTTCGAAAATTTGTAATTCAGAGCGACAGCTTTTTGACGTGTAAATGGATCGATATGTAAACGAATATTTACCAAAGAGTCACTATCCTCGAATTCTGTTCCACCGCTTAGCCATTCTAATCCTTCGAAGTAAGCTACAACCAGCTGTTTTGTTTCTTCGGGAGCACATAAGCTCCAATAAGTGCTTAAAATATCTTCTGTATTGAGAGTAGTATAAAAGAAATCCATAGAATGAACAGAACATTTTGAAACAAACGACATGAACCGAGCTAGCACAGGAACAGTAAAGTTGCTTTTTTCCGCCTTTATTTTTTCCATTAACGGTCCATGAGAAATTACTAGCCCTTTCTTTGGGTTTATCTTAAGGTACTCCAGTTTGGGAAATTTCTTCATAAGGAATAACAAAAAATTATCGTTTCCGTAGGAAATGCCTTGAACAGTAAGCCGCTTAATGTTGTGCTGAGATGAAACCAGTGAAAGATCAATATATTCAATTTGTGCTTCCGGATTGAAGACAGTCCCTTCCAGGTTTTCGAATGATAGATGTTTTAGACCTTGCATATTTTGGGCCACATGCTCCACAGTGTCCAAAAATGAATACTTGTTCGTTCCAAAACATAAATGATGAACATTGGAAAAAAGACCCAGTTTATCATATAAACTAGTTAGGCTTTTTGTATCGTGCCCTTCATACAAGCTGAGAAACTTAAGAGTCTTTCTATGCAGTAGAGCACATGCGTTGTGTAGGCCTGATGATTCAACTGAACAGTCTCCAATATTTTCCATTCTTGTCCATTTTCCTTGTTCGTATGCTTTTATCAAAGCATTATAATACCATGCATCATTTTTTTTCGAGTCAATTTGGCGTAAATGAGGGAACATATCTTTAAAAGAATCAATCCACGAGGTTCGGCTTTCGCTAATTTCCAGATATCCATCATACTCAATTGCATGGGTAAATTTCCCAGGATATGAGTCGAGTTTAAGGTCGTTTGCTGAAATTAGCAGGTTTACTGCTTGTGCACTAACCAATTCAATTTCCGAATAAAGAGAACGCTGAGCTGGTAACTTCCATTTTTTGCATACAAGTATACATTGGCAGAGGGTATCCAAGTCTTTGTTTGAATGCAAAAAATAAAAGATGACATCCAATATTTCGCTCGGCAATTCCCCGAGGCCGTGATACATTTTAAAGTGTGAAAAGAAAAAGAAAAGGAAAAGGTATCAATCTATCATTTTCATGTCCAATCATATATTTTATACATTTAAACCAGAAAGAACCAAAAAGAAAAAATCGATGTTTAATCTTATCCTTTAGCAATTTAAAATAATACAAAAGAACAACAAAGAATAAAATAAGTTTTAAGGACCACTGATAACAAAGGCGGATGATAAATTTCACAAAAGGAAGAAGATAATATGCTACATATGCGTCCAAAAGACACTTTTTAAACTGCTTTAATTTAAAATTTCAGATGACGCAGAGCTTATATCACTGGCCGTTTTATGATGACTGAAAGCCTTCAAAAAGCATTTGACAAATATTAACCAGAACAATGAGTCTTGGGAGTGACAATGATGTTTTTTTTTAAAAAATAATCTGGATAATCGGCATGGATGTCATTCGTTAATGAACCCATCAAATAACAAATACATTAAGATATACAGTTCCCTGCTTTTGTAGTTAAGTCTATCTTTGGCAAATTTCTTCATGTTGTGGGCAATTACATTATTTATTTCGACATTTAAAGATTGTATCTAAAGGCTCCTAAATCATTATTTAATAGCTTTTTCGAAAGCCAATATATAAAATCAAATGAAATCAGTTAAAGATCAAATTTATTACGAAACATTACAAGCCATAATGTAAATATTATTATCGGCACATACAAAACATTATTAGCGATCTCCTTGCAAATAATGCTCACGTAATTTTTTTTCGCTCATGGAAGCAGCAAGATTTCCAGATTTGTCTGGTAGCAATACACAGCAGGATAAAGCCGGGCTAATTTTTTTTAAGGAAACTACCAAATAATTGACAGATTTACATGTAATATGGATGTTTGCAAATGTATGATCACCCAGGCCAGAGTTGAAATCACCCTCTTTAATTTGAGCTGCAAGAGGGAAATCAGGATTTTTCTCTTGCTCTACTTCATCAGCGTCCTCTTCATCGGAATCACTATCCAAGGCACTTTCTTCAATATCGATTTTTACTGGTGATTCGTATTTGTAGTATGTATCCTCGTTATTTGTTGTCAGCTTGATCAGTATTTTGGAAGGATAATGAGAATAATAGGCACCGTCTATGATATAGTTTTTGACGTACAAGAAACGGAATGATGTTTGTGGCATGTTAATTTCAGAGTTAAAGTAATCAATTACATCTTCATCTTCCTCATCAACATGATGTACATCTTTTAACTGCAACTTTTTCAATGATGGTAGTTGTTTTGATATCTCAGTCAGTACGTTTTCGGCGACTACCACCCGTTCAAGACATAATTCGGTAATGCATGTGTTTATAGTTGGGTATTCATCACTGTTATAAAAGAGAATACGTGAGAAATATACCTGAAGTTTTTGTAAATTTGTACAATGCTGGAGGATATGACCGAGAAAACCCCCGTTTACCAAAGTTATAGTCTCTACATCTTGCCCGTAAATAACATTTAAACATTTGTCAGGGCCGAGACATACTATAAGGTGATCTATATTCTTTCCGACTTTTTCAACCACTCTGAGATGTGGTAAATCGGCACCAACGGATGCGTAGTTAAACATCACAGCCTTTTTATCTATGGACTGATCTACCTCCAAAGCTATATTTACCAATGCCTTCCCATTTACTGATCGTTGCTCTTCAGGGTCCTGCCAGTTAGTACCTTCAGCATAAGTCAGTCCAACTAACTTTGTTTCTTTAAGATCACGCAAATCCCAAAAGCCTTTCAGAATTTCATCTACATTGAGGGTGGTATACAACAAATCCATTGTGAAATATTTACAGTTTACAACAAACGCCATAAATTTTGAAAGCATAGGTACTGAAAAGTTGTTGTGTGTTGACTTTATCTTTTTATATAGATTGGGCTGTCGAATGACACAGTCTCTTTTTAGATTTATTCTGATGGCATTCAATGCTGGATATTTCGTCATCAGGTACAACAATAAATTGTCATCTTCGTAGCAAAAACCTTCAATTACAAGTTCTTTGACACCAGGCCGAGGTATTATCTTTGAAATATCAACAGTTTCGTAAGGGGCTAGACCATTGTAATCAGCGTTTTCAATGTTTTCGTAGTACACCGCTTTCAGATCACGCATATTCCCATTAATATGTTCTGAATATTGATAAAAATTGTGTTTGTTTGTTTCCAGAGTTAGTTTTCTCATTTTGGGAAAAAGATGAAGTTGATCGTATAGGCTTGTCTTTGCAAAGTTCCTGTAGCCTTCGCGAACATTTAGTATCTGCAGAGTATTTTTGTGCAACATCGCGCAAGTATCATGTTTATCAATAAATTGTTCAGGACAGGTACCAATACTATTCAAGTCTTTTAATTTACCCTCACCATGAGCCTTAATTAAAGCAGAGTAATAATCAACTTCATCATTTTGACAGTATACATGACGTAGATTAGGAAATATATCAATGAATGACTTGATGCCTGCAGCAGCAGTAATATGTGGAATATCGTATTTTCCCAAATATGCAAGAGTTTGCGTAAATCTTCCTGGAGATGAGGTGTCATCATCAGTTAAAGCAACGATTATGGCTTTGGCTGAATTTATATTGGGGAGAAGAACTTCAGAATAAAGACAGCGTTGGGCGGGTAACATCCATTTTTTGCACACCAACTCGCATTGCTTGAGGCCGTCTACTTCATAGACTCCACGGACATATCCAAAGATAACATCTAAAATTTCCACTGGAAAGTTACTAAAATTACGTTGCATTATAACAAAAAAAAGAAGATGGTTGCTCTAATACATAAATTCTGTTGCTTATTTAAACAATTATTAAATATGACACTTTAAAGAACCCAAATAAATTATGAAGATATCATTATCAGTTCGTAATCTGTTTCGAATCTGTCTCAAAAATGTGCTTTGTAATTAGACCATTGTTAAGTAGAAGTTCTATACACATATAAACTTGTCGCATGGCTATCATCATTGTGTTTATACTGAATAATTGAAATGTGTAAGAATACACATGTTCAAGCTTTTTAAATAACCATTGTCTTCTAGCTCATCTATGTGGTAAAAGAGAAGTTTTAAAGTAATCTAACACCTGGTGCATTGTCTGTAATTTATAATAACATCGTAACTCGTTATACGTTTCATATATGCATGAGCTACCTAGGATTTTCTATTTAAGGGCGCTTTGTGTAGATGCTCATTGTTTTAAAGGATAATTCATTTGCTATTCCTACCAAATATCAAAGTACAACAGACTATTGACAACATATAGAAACCCTTATGTTTATTTCATTTTAGTGATCAATGGGATCTTACGTCATAAGTCTTTACATAAAAAGCATTCATTTCTCTAGCGACTATCATAACTTTTGCCATACATCTCAGGCCAAATACACATTTAAAATTCACAATCAATTTATCCGGTAATTTAGTAGTCTTGCAATTGCAGTTTATTTTTTAACAAACAAAGGCTATCGAAATCAATTTTTTTCTAAACTTTTTTTCGGTATATGATAAAAGTATTCGATGTTATTAGCATACAGTTTAAGGTTTATAATTTTTCAGTTTTATTTTAATATCATGTTTTTATTAATCATTGCTAATATTTTGTTGAAATTAAAAAGGGAAACTATTCAGAATAACCAATAGTCTTTCGTCTTCAGACATATTACCCATGCTTTTGTAAGTAGCTAAATCTACCAGTATAACGACGCAAGATAGAAGAGGATTTATTCTTTCTAAAGACAAGGCTAGATAATTCATTGAACGACATTTGACATGAATGTTAGCACATTCTGCTGATTTTAAGCCATCATTATATTCTTTTTCTTCAATCGGAATGGCTAGACTGTCTTTTGCTAACTGCACTGGTACTACTTGCTCAGGTTCTGTGTCAATTGGGTCTTGAATACTTCGAGGGAAGTTTTTTTTCATAAGCTCAATTTGTCTGTTTGGAGCATGTTTGTAATACAGATCGCCATCCTCCGTGGACAATTTCAAAAGAATTTTGGTAGGGTAGCGAGTAAGAGAAACATTATCCAAAAAATGATTCGTAAGATTAAAGAATCGCAATGAACTTTCCGGCATATCAATAACAAAATTGAACCTGGCGGCCTCAAATTGAATTTCTTCTTTGCATGTATACAGGTTCACCAGTGACAGCCTTTTTAAGCAGGGAAGGCGTTTCGATATTTGTGATAAGATGTCCTTTGAAATATAGACATGCTCAAGACTTAAATCCGTAAGACAGGTATTGATAAAGGAATGCTGATCAGACGTAAATAATTGGATCCGTGAATGGCAGATATAAAGGCTTTGGAGCCTAGTACAATTTTCAATAATATGGCTGAAGAAATAACCATTGGCCATATCATCCATTTGCTCGTTTTGTCCGATGGCCACATTTGCACATTTGAAAGGATCCAAACAAAATACAAGACGATCGATGCCAGTTCCACATTTTTCCAGCACATCGAGATGAGGTAAGCTGACATTCCATGATTTATAGTTTAGTGAGATGATTCTTTCTGCTGTCTCTGGACTATAGGTTAAATTTATATACATCTGTGTATCATTTGGCACGCGTTGAGCGTCAAAATTTCCCCAATCTGAAGCTTCTGTGTAAGCAATTGCTACCATTCTTGGCCCATCAATCTCACTTTGCTCCCAGTACTTATTCAAAATTTCATCGGCATTTACAGTTGTGTAAAGCATCTTAACATTATAAGATTGACATTTAGTGACATAAACCATAAATTTTGAAATAACATCTGCTGAAAGACTGTTCTTTGTTGATTTGATCTTATCTAAAAGTTGATCATGTCGAATAATTGGACCCATATCTGGATTGATTTTAAGAAAATATAGTTCAGGAAATTTTGTCATTAAGTACAATAAAAAATCTTCGCTTTCAAAACCTATAGTGTGCATTTCAAGGTTTTTGATGTTGGGTTGAGGAATGACTGAGGAGAGATCAACGGGTTTGTATGGTGCCAGCGAGTCGAAATTCGTCCCCATTAAATTTCCATAAGACAGGAGATGCAAATCCTGAACATTTTCAGTGATGTGTTCTACAGATTCATAGAAACTGCGGTGGTTTGTTTCTAAGTATAGTTGTTTTAAACTGGAAAAAAGGTGCAGTTTATTGTACAAGTTAATTTCTGGCGTGATTGCTTTTCCATCGTGAAGATTGAGGATATTGAGCGTATCCTTGTGCAACAAAGCACACATGTTGTGTTTTTCGACAGATTCCTCTGGACAGGTACCAAAACTTCTCATGTGCCTCCATTTTCCGGACTCATATGCTTTGATGATGGCATTATAAAATCGAGGATTCGATTTTAGCGGGAAAATAGCCTCTGCCTGAGGAAAAATATCAATAAAAGAATCAACCCACGAAGACACCCGATTATCATCTGCCTCAAAATCTCCATAAAATTCAAGCGTTCGAGTGAATCTACCAGGAGATGAATTGGAGGTATCTTTTAGTGAAGCAATTAATGTTTCCACTTGGTGAACACTTTGGAGTATGACTTTTGTATAAAGAGAATGTTGAGCTGGTAAACTCCAATTCTTGCAGACAAGTTCGCATTGAGAGAGACTGCGGAGATCCAAGCCTGAACGTAAATAAGCAAAAACTACGTTTAATATCTCGCCTGGGAAATTATCAAAGGAGTGTGTCATTGAAAGATACAATTATAAAAGAAAAAAGAGTACTGTGTCATTTTTTGACGTCCATTTCAACCCTTTTTATGTTTAAGCAGAACCAAAATTTAATTGGACGGGATTTCAAAGAGCCCAGGGCAAGCAAGAAAAAAAAAAAATTAACTTTTTTGTTACATCTCGCACGTTCTACATGTTAAAAGTGAATCAAAAGAAAAAGAAGAGTGTGAATCGCTCAAGAGATGTTAACAATGCCTCCCGAAAAACCTATAAAATTCAAGACATTATAAGAGTTCCTTTTCAATTACTATGCAACCCCAAATATTTTTGGCATTTGACTGCCCTCTTATTGATTGGCGAACTTGTGTTGAACACAGTCATTATCCATAAAGTATCATGTAAAGTAGATACACAAATTTATGACTGTAACAATGCGTTGCTTACATTTTTTAGATACAGAAATTGATTGGGTGGCCTATATGCAAGAGGTAGAAGGGTTTATTTCTGGTGAACGTGATTATTTGAAGCTCAAAGGAGACACTGGGCCCTTAGTGTAATATAATGGTGCTAAGAGGTTGAATATGGGCTAATTCTCTTTCTTATTATCTAGATATCCTGCTGGGTTTGTGTATATATACTCTTTCTTGTATTTTTTGACAGACAAAGGAAAGAATATTCGTATCGCTCAATACTTTTTCGAAGCTCTTTATCTAGTCAGTCAGTTTATTGTGTGCTGCATTTATCACCAATCAAAAAAAGTGCCACCTTATGTCATTCTTTTATTGGGTTGTTCGAAACGTTTCCATTCTATCTTTGTTTTAAGATGCTTTAATGATCCAGTTGCCATGGTTTTTATGTTTGCCTGTATACTGGCAATGACATACAGACGCTGGACTTTATCTAGTGTCTTATTCAGTTTGGCATTGTCCATCAAAATGAACGTATTGCTTTTCTTTCCTGCTTTTGGAATAATTTTGTGGCAAGCACTTGGCGCATATCAAACTTTTGGACAGTTGGGGCTTATGGTGATGATCCAGGGAGTTATAGCCTATCCATTTTTGTCGACTTATCCTTCAAGCTATTTACAAAAGGCCTTCGAATTTAATCGTGTATTTGATTATACTTGGACAGTTAACTGGAGAATGTTAGAAGAGGAAACCTTTGTGTCTGGATGGTTCGCAAAACAATTGTTAGCTGGACATGCATTCACCCTACTTATGTTTATCCTGAATATATGGTGCGAGCCGTAAGTATTATAAGGGTTGTTTGTCTCGGGTATTTTTTATTGACATGTCTGTTTACATAGTAAAGGAGGCCTTATGCACGTGTTAAAGCAAGGGTTTTCCCGTCATAATAGAATTTCGGTATCAAACGATGGTAAAATAACAATACGTTAATTTCATGGTGATTGTAATAATTGATTGTTTTATTTCCAAATGATAGATATTATATGCATGATGTTTACGAGTAATTTTATTGGTATTCTCTTTGCAAGATCGTTGCACTACCAATTTTATTCATGGTACTTTCAAACTCTCCCTTATCTTTTATGGCAATGTGCATGGACCACAACACAAAAAGGATTCAAATCCACGTCCAGAATATTAATCTTTATCACTATCGAAGGTTGCTGGCTGACTTTTCCTTCCACGACTAATAGTTCATGGACATTATTTGCTTGTCATCTTATGATTTTATTAGGTATTTTTGGTAACGCTCCTGCCCCTAATTACAAATTACCAGAACTTACTTATAAATAATGATTTTTTCGTTATTCTTGGACATAATTTAAATTTAATTGTATTTCTTTTTTAATAATAAAATTAAGGAGACAGGTTTTATCTTTTTCTTCTTAATTTTTGTTTTTTTTTTTCCTTCTCTCTCTCTCTTTCCTTTCTCAAATATTTTATAATGGTACCTGAACAAAAAAGCAACAAAATACCAATCTTAAGAATCAGATTAAAGTTGAATTACAGCAACGATATCGAAAGAAAAAAAGATGTGACGCAAAAAAAGAAGAGAAAAAGGTTTGTTTCAGCCGTCCATCGTAAATCGACACTATTAACAAAAAAAAGTAACTAGATCAACTAGCAGCAGTAAAAGTAATAAGAGTATGTATTGAAATTATACCTAGTCCGTTTCAACTATTAACAGTTTTGAACAGGAAAAGATCACAAGAAGACTGCTGATACCACAACACCATCTAATAATGCAAATAGTGGATACTGGACATCAGGTAAACAAACTATACTGTATAGATAACCGAAAAATCCGATTAACATGAATATTAGAGCAAATTGAGACAAACAAGTTAATACTAAGAAACTGTCAATATAGTTCATCCTAAAATATCTTTAAACAACCAGCTTAGACCTATCGCTTTTATATGTACCTTCATGCCTCTCATCATTAATAATTTAATATATAATAAAAAACCTTAATAAAATGGGCCCTTTATTAGGGCCTTAATATGATCAAATTCCCCCTTTCCTTGATTTTTATGTCTGTGCTGAAAGAACAATAAAAGCATTTTTTTTTTAAAATTCTGTGCAAACAATCGAGCAACATAAATATTGATTGTTCATGGGGAACTTTACCTAAAAATTAAAAATTAAGGGGACGGCTACAATTGAGGAACTCTTCTGGCATAATGTACTAAAATAATGGCTTGAACCAATCGATGATGACATCAAGGGCAAGCATTTATTTTGTCTGTTCAGGGCACTGGTCGGAAAAGACATATGATTTATCGCTATTAGCCTTTTACGGTTAAAACATAAACCGATTTATCGTCGTGTATACGAGAATTATTTATGATTACAGGTAATAAGAAGTTTGCATCTCTAGTTCGAAAGGTAGTTATGATTTAAACATCCCCCACATTTTTATTTTAAGTGCATAGAAAAATCGCTGTTTTATGTTTTTATCAACTTGGCAAAATACGAATGCAAAGCAAATTGACAATTATAATTACCAGTAGCTGCACCCTTTTTTATAAAAACACGGGCTTTTGCAGTAAATTATGCATTAATCACTATGCACTGGTTAAAATAGCAGTAAAAAAAAAAATGCGTCGTTGTAGATTCTGGTAAATTGCTTTCAATCGATCAAAGTGAAATTTTTATGAAACCAACAATAAAGGAGTGGAATTGTTCGTAATTTTTCATGCATGAAATTGCACAGAGTGTTATTAAATTTCTATACGTATATCTAATGAGCGTAATATAGTACTCAAATTTTGGGGGTAATGTGACTAAATATGCAAGCAAAATGCTCAAATAATGATGTACAACTATTTTTGTTTATCATTATTTAAGCATTATGAACAAAGGATCCCTTGTTAGTACTTGAGTTTTACCCCCACATTATCCTGTTTTCCAGAAAAGAAGTAAATGTTGAATTAAAGAAAGGTTTATAATCCTCATGTAAATGCTGAAGTCGGTTAAATAATGTAATTATCAAAGTTTAGTTTTAGATACAAAGAGGTTATATAAACTGAACCACCATCAAGGGTTTTTTTTGGGGGGGGGGGAATATACTCTTTGGGTGGAGGTCATGATTGCGAGTGCTATCTGTTTTTAGCTACTCTTAAAGGTAGGATATGCCTCCCAGCGCTGAGTTTTATAACCATACATAGTTTTTATTATTTATGCTCATATCCATGGATACGATGCCATCCGGATTTTCCTTTTTTTCGATATAGTTACTAAATATCAGAATTTTTATAATAACGTTTGACCCATATATGAGTTGCATTCTCAAATCAATGATTGTGGAAAGTGATTCCCGGAAAGCAGTTGGACATGCTATTCAAATCGAGGCGCTATGTGCTCAGGTCATCTCCATTTATTTGACAGATACGGGTCTTTATGTTACTTTACTTGTATTCCAAATTTGCTTCTTCACCTCCTCGTTACTTTTGAACAATTCTATAAGTGGATTGAAGAATATGTTTCTTTTTTGTTGACCATTTTTGCGATAATGCAAAGCTATAGTTGTGCAGCTCAGAGATGTTTCAAACGTTTAAAAGAGATGCGCATAAATGGGTTTTTAAATTACAAATGATGGTAGTGTGCTTGTTTAAATTTTCAGGACGCCACTTTTCCCCTAGCCCATTTGTCTTTACAGCAAAAGTGATTAAAAGTACTAAGATTAGGCTTATTTCAAAACTCCTTATACAAGAAATCACATTTATATGGTTACTGGGAAACCATATATGAACCTTTGTTTTCAAACCCCTAATAATCGAGAATAACTTTGCATTTTGTTCCACTATTTTTCTACGACGATGATAATCAAAAAGTTTATTATAGTTGACAACATCAAATTAATTGACATCCTTTTTGTCTGACCTTATAGATAACATATACGCCAGATGTCATACATTATAAAAGCTTACATAAGTAAAGTATCAAAGAGTAGTGCTATTCATATCTGTTATTGAATGAAATGCCTATGTATAAATTTATGCTTCTGTCTAAAGCACCACATTCACTAAAATTGGCGAGGGACATATTATCCAAACTAAAAATAAAACCAATGCCATACTCATATAACGTTGCTGTAATAAAAAAATGATTGTAATGGAGGGGAGTGCGTGTATCTGGTTTAACAATAGTCCAGAGTTGTAAAGATTCATTGGCCGAATAATTTTTTCTCTCTCTCTCTTTCTTATTAACATAATTTACACCTATGGATTTCAACAAGATTCTATCATTGCTCAAGGTGAGGATAATGGCGACAAAGAAGAAAATAATTTTACGAACGGTTTGAATTAGGGACAAGATATAGTGACACCCAACGTAGCACCGCCAGCACCAGCACCAGCGGCGACTGCAACATCCGTAGAAGCACCGGCACTAAGTTCGGGACTCGACTTATCCAACATTAGCCAGAGCGTGATTGATCAAGTTCGAAATGAGTACTTGACCAAGAAAAAGTCTGAAGATAAATTAAAGAATGCAACGACCATTACACCCGAAGTGTTGGTCACGATTGGCAAAATGGTGCAAGAGACAGATCTGGTGAAAGTGCTGAAAAAGTGTAAAGAAAGACAGGATAATAAGGAGAAGGAGCTGTATTCTCATCGAGAATCCATCAAGGCAAGATATAGCAAACAAAAGGAGAGTATATTAGCAAAGTAAGACGTAAAAAATGAATGCGTAACAGGTATTATTCTGAAGTTACCCTTAATGTATATAGACAATTAATTGGCGTGAAAAGTAATAATCCCAACGAATTGCAGGTAACGTGATTAACGATAGTTTGTGATAGAATATTGATGAGAATGATTAGATGGTAGAGAGAGAAATGAATCAAGAGTTACATGGATTGGATTTACAAATTATCAAGGATATGGACAAAGAAGTGACCTATTTGCAACAAGAGTTTGTTAAATTAAATGTTCCCTTATTCAAGGTGACCAAGGATCCTAATGATATAAAATTGCAACAGAAAGTATTATTTATGCTACAGGATATGATTTAAAATAAAGGGGTGGGGGATGGTATGCAAAATGTAGAAATTTTTTATTATTAGTGGTACTTGTTATTTACTCGGACTTTTCTACGACTTGAGCTGCTGTAACGTCGCTCTTCTTGGTTTTCTTTTCCTTGACTGGATCAAAACCGTATAAAGGAATGAAACTATCAATGATGCCAACATCTTCGAATAGATTTGGGAATAACCAGAAACCACGGGGTAAGACGGGTAATGTGAGGACATAAAGAATGAGACGTACAATGGCAATACCAAAGAATACACCGACCAAACAAAGGACGGCAACACTGAGATACCAAACACCCATTCTCAAAAAGTTTGGCCAGAGTGGGAAAAGCACACCAGCAAGGATAGTAGCAACTAAAGCAGCAGCACCCGCGTATAATCTAAATCGAGATCCTTCCCAAATCCACATATAATAACCATCTTCCTTGATTTCTTGAACTGGATTAGGTTGTAACAAACGTGGAGATCCTTTACCACCAATAGATTCACCACGGTCAACACGTAAAACAAACCCATATTTACCCAAATCATTCAATATATTAAATGCTTCATCGCGTGTCTTGGGTACTGTGTCTCCTTTTGATGTAACTTTAGCGTAATTTTCCTTCAACAAAGCTTCGATACCTCTCTTGCCTAATAACAATGATTAATACATATAACCATCAGTGATAAGTGATATCCCTCTATATTTTACCTTTAAAGTATTCAAATCTTTTTCCGTTGAAGACACCTTGTCTTGCCTTTAAACCAGACTTCTTTTCATCCTTGAGATAGGTAGCAGTATTTTTGTACAAGGCGGGTGCTTTATTAGCATCGTTTACTTGAATAGTTTGAGGAGCACTTCCGTTAGAAGGCCCGTGATTACAACCAGGTCCATGTTGATGACTCATTTTTTATTATTTAGATTGAAGATGAAAGAAAAAGAAATTATTTATATTTTGTATATTTATATCTCCCCTTTTGTATTTGGCAACCAATCAAAAGCCGACAAACATTTGTATTTTTATTTTTTATTTATTTAGGTTTCAATTTACTGTTTTGTGAAAGAGGATGAGCGATTGGTCTAAAAGCGAATTTTGTTCTAATATAAACAGGTTAGTATGAGTGATATAATTGTTGTCCTGTTCAATACAACTTACTTGCAAGTAGAGCAAACAGGTGACCATTTACAAAAGACTAATAAGATATGTTAAGGGTGAGATCTTTCCCATATTTTATGCACTTACTGGATAAACAAACAGAACAAACAAATCCAATGTCCACAATTTTCTTGTGACAGAAACAAGCCGCTCTGAAATCGACTTGATCTTGACTAGGTAAATTGAGATAATTTCGTGAATAGTTATCAGGCAAAAAAGCCATCATCAAATATTCTAACAAGGCCTGTGGATTCTCTACTTTGACATAGACGCCACCTGTAATATTCGAAGCTTGTTGTAAAAATGCGGTTTCTTCACCATAAACTTTACACACATCCACAGGAATTGACGCCTTTTGTGCGGAAAAGATACAATTCATCAGTGGGATATATTGATAAGCCGAATCGGGTGAGACGGATAAAACAAGGATTCTTGGTTTAATATGCCCTTCTTCGTCTGTCTTTGCCACTCGATTGACATAACACAAGGCCATCGATAAGGCACCGGTGATAGTGGGAGCAGCTCCCATATCCTTCTTCAAAAACTCGGCACTCGTGTCTGATAACAGTTTCTGTAAATTCGACACAATTTGATCCGTCACCACTTGAAAATGAGGGTACATGTTGGCATTTCTTTTATTGCCGTTTAAACTTAGGGTTGCTTCCTCATTGTCTGCCAAGGGGTAAAGTATTCTGCATTGTCCCACATGACTTGCAATAACCACCACTTTATTGTTATACTTTAAGGCTAAATGAGCATTAATGAATATCAGAATCTGACTCAGAGCACTGTCTAAAGAAAGCGGGATCTCTGCTTTCGAGCACTCTTCCCAGGCAAACGGATTGGTATCGATGATTATAATGAGCAGGTTGGAATCGTCTGTCGGTACCATGACTACATTAGTCCATCGTATTCAATCTGCTTATTTAAAACAATAAAAGGTACCTTCGCTGGCTGTCACGTCTTTCATTTTTTTTTTTAAATATGTACAGGAAAGAAAAAGCGCGGTTATTCAAAGCCTCTTCCTTTCTGTTCATATATTTTTATTTTTTATTTTAAATGTCTGCACCAACACCACCACCTTACTACACATTACTGGATCCACCATTACCCAACAATTTAACACTCTCTGACGTTCGCATAAATAAGAAAATCGATATTGATCATAAAGCTCAGTTAGAAGCATTACAGAGACATTTAGATACATTTCGTAATAGACAACCTTTTTGGTTGGAAGTAGCAGTTTTAGACCGACTTCACTACAAGAATGTGAACCAGCATCGACCTTTTCATCGATTTAAACGAGGCATGGAACTTCGTCGTCTTGCCAAACGTTTAAAAAAATTGGCTATAGAGGATGAAATCGAACGACTTTACAAGTCTTTTTGGAACGCTAAAACGTAAAAAGAAAATTTTTTATTAAATTGTAAAAAAAAAAAAATTATTTGACAGGCGAAATAACACATAACTTTCTATAGTTTAGAAAGCTGTTCTGGAAATTGGAATTATATACCCTCCAAGGAGTCAATTCAATATACCATGCATAGATTAATTGGAGCTGCATTGTTACTTGATAAGGTGGGTATTTTCAATGGGTGATCTAGTCAAATAGACTAAACAATCTCACTCTAGCTTAAAATTGCGTTGATTGAAACTTTCAGAGCAAATTCTACCTTGTTAAGACTGGAGCATTTTGTATCTATGGCTATTGTGTACATGGGTATCTGCAGTCGCTTATACAACTTGTGTCATGCTTGGGTGAGTCAAATTGAGGAATGCTACCATTTGCTCTATACTTGGTCACAGTGCTTCCCTAGTGGGATGAAGCAAAAGGACGAGAAGGTCTTTGTATTATCCCATAATCTGGACTGTCAAGCAGACACATTGAAATCAGCACGTATCAAATACGCTGAAAATACAATGCAATCCAAAATTACAAGTCAGCATAAAATTCATTTGGAAACTTACATGGCAAACCCAATTGTTGTGCAGAAAATCCAGGAAATCAAAAAAGAGGTTGGTTTAAGCATGGATGATGAAGACGATTTAATGGATTTTGAGGATCTTGGAGGTATATATAAATAACAGGCACCGTGCTTCACGCATTTACTCATATTCTCTCTTTCTATCACATAGAGGTGATTACACGATAAAATAAGGTTTTTTTGTGTGTGTTTATTATTCTAGTAGATGTATGTACATTTTTTCTTTTTTCTTTTAATGACCAAAGTTGAAATACTTTTCACGGAATAAAAAGTGACCAGGTCTCTTGGGATCTTCTTGACCCTTCTCCATAATCTCTGCTTTATCAGAATCAGAAACGATGGTTTGTTCCACAATAGCCTCATCCTTCTTTGACCAGTCCTTGATTTTTTCCATGGTGATCAATCGGCGAGACCAAAGACCAAAGTTTTGTTCGCTGTTACTGATAAGAGTCATGCATGGATGTTGAGGCACATCCATGTTGGAATACTCATCCACAATGGTAGGAAGCCAATAGACTAAACGACCACCCAATAATAAATGTTCGGCGGCAAAGTTCAAGAGATCTGTCAAGACCTCTGACATTTCATAAGGTTTTGTAGGAGGATAATAGTCTTCACGTGTGTGCATAGGAACACCATCATATGATCTCAAAGCTAATTCTTTACCGTCATTTCTACCCAATTTCTTGGCACCAGCACGAACACCATATGGAGGATCAGTGACAATGGCATCCAACCATTGCTGAGATCTCCAAGGATTATGACAGATATCAAACACAAGAGCATCCAAAACTCTGCCCTGAAGGTTATATTGTTCGATGTTCGTCTTTACACCCGACTTTCCTTTACCACGAATTTGTCTTCCATCAATATCTGAGCCCATGGTGAATGCACCGAAATGAGCACATGTGAATAGGAAACTACCTGTACCAACAAAAGGATCATAGACAATTTTTCCTGGTGCAGCCAAGGCTTGGTTAGCCATGACAAGTGATAATTCAGCATCCATGGAGGTTGTGCCCAAGTACTTTCTCTTTTTCAAGTTGTAAAGATTGACAAGATCACGACTACCGGTAGCAACCAAGATACCCATATAAATATAGATAGGTGCATCTCTTTCTGTACCGTGTTCAGCTCCGTAATCAGCCAAAACGTGAAATTTAACATCGGGATTCTTCATATCAATAGGTCCTTCGAATCCAAGGTATGAGAATGAGTTGATGATATCCAATTGCTCTTTATAGGTGATGGTGGAACCAAAGGCGGATACGGTGAATCTGAAAGAACACGTCATGTAGTCGTTCCAACGGTCTTTTGTCTCTTCCTTCACTTGCTTGTGAACTTGATCATAACTACTGCCTTCACCCCATAATTCAAAGATATGTCTATAATAAACAGTCAGTTTCTTCTACCCACTACTGCATATCAAACTAAGACGTACTTGATTAAAATAGCTCTCTTGACAAGCTTTTGAGCATCTTCTTTACAGTCTAACTGAACCTTGAAGAATGGGTTCTACAATATAAAATTAGCCTTCTTCTAATGAATGGGACCATGAAAAGGGGTAAAAACTTACGTCCAACTTGTAATCTTTTTCATCATAGGTGACCTTGACTTTTTCAAGTTTGGCAAGAGAAAGGAACTCGGGAAGTCTGAACTCGTCGTGTGACTACAGGAAACTCATTAGTCCTTGCTATTGTCTTCAAGAGAACTGTCCACTTACCTGAGCAAACTGAACGAGAAAAGCAGGCATAACAAGTAAAAGAGTGTCGCGGGGAATAAAACAAAAAAAAAAAAGACATAAAAGGACGTATAAGCCACATATCAGGTTTTACATGAATGGGAGAACAGTCAAATCAATGTGGGAAATTGCCTTTTTCTTTAAGAAACGGAAATGTCTAGACCTCCACATATTTTTAAAATGTATTTTTTGTATCACGTGATGGTCTACACATAAGTCTTTACGTCGATTGACATGCCATATCGTCTAAACTTCATAGGATGATCGATTTTTGTTTTTTATAACATCTGCTTCACTGTCATTACAAGCTACTACTGGAAAGCAGATAGACAACAACCAATTTATGACTTGCTTGGGAGGTTTTTGCAAGTGTTTCTATTTTAAATAAAGGCCCAGACATTATGAAAGATGAAACAAGCAATTAAATCATCCTGACATAAGCTTGTTTATCAGCCTATAAATAAAGCTGGTTCACACACTTTATTCTTTTCCTTTTCTTTTCCCTTAACATACTTCTTTTATCGTATGAAAGTAACCGATCACGTAAAAAGGTTTGTTTAGTAGTGACTCTTGTTTCTTTGAAAAGAAGCTAAATTGAAAAAGATATATTATAATGATATTGCGGCTGCGGCTAGTCTTTGCTATAGGAGGGTGACCTCCTAGGCAGGGTTCTTGAGTTTTTGGAACTCACAGACTGTGAATAGCAGGGATCGCATTGTAAATAGCAGGGATCGCACAATAAACAGGTGTAATCATACTGGCAGGCTTGTCTTGGCCAGAATTTCTATCAGTGGAGGTAATATACTTTGCTGTCATAGATGTCAATGTGTCTTTTTGGCCGTATCACACATGTTTAAACATGTTTCGGTTTGTTGTTTGTCTATTTTAGACGTTCGACGGGGCTCCTATTTACAGGACATCCAGGCATCTCCCAAAAATGCCCATACCTCTCTAACAAACTCTTTAAAAAGTTTGACTTGAAAAAGCAACAAACTCGGTACAATCAGCATTTAAAAACTGTAAAAAGCGTAAAGCGTGCACTGACGACTTGAAAGTAGTTACAGTTTGAAGAAAAACGAAGAAACATTCAACATGGTAAGACCAAACTAACACATAAATGTTAGTAGGTACTGTCGAGGATATCATAGGTATAATAATAAAGTTAGTTGCCACATCATCTTAAGGATGGATAATAATATAAAAGTTAATCATAGATCCCGAGCAAAAATATTACTCTTGTCATTTGATGTTTTATTACTGTTGATCCCTCTGACTAATATTTATATACTCAGTATGGAAGTGCTAAATTTAAAGACATGTTGATTATTTACTATCACCACGTTATTACATCTGACCCAATAAGGCGCTTAATATTCTCCCTAGAACTATCAAGTTCTTCATTAATTTATTTTTTTCGTTCATAATAATATGGTATCCAAGTTCTAACAGTGTCACTTTTGGTTCTACTTAATTTTTGCTCTCCATGCAAATCAGGTACTATATTCAGTTTTGGTTAATAACTTATTTGTAAGTTCATAAACTCAAGACCAGCATCAGTGTTCTTTCTGGAAAAATCAGTCGAAGAACAAATAATTGAACGAGACCTATACCATAATAACATAGGCACAAGATTTTATGAAGATTAAGTATGTAAAATTCCTAATTTCTTATGAAAGTCTAAAGCTAATAATAAGATTTATATCTTATCAACAGAGTTCAAATCTGAAAAAACAAAAGGGAAAACAGGTAAAACGTCCATTATTTTAATTCATTATTTATAATTAAAGCTGACTAACTCTAGTCTATTGAAATCGATCAGCTTGATGATGAGGAATTCTCCATACTTCACTCAACAAAAGGCATTGACAATGACAATGAACAAGTAAAAACAAGCTCCATACAAATAACTTGTATAACTAATGTGAAACGTAGCCCATCTCGGTGGGTGTTATAGTCCGTCAGAAAGTACGAGTGTCGATAGTGCCTGGCCTTTTCCCATCTTGGATGATGATGGAAACATCATCGGCACCACCACCACCAAAATCCGAGTTAGTAGAAAACAATTTGTTCGATTCCTTTTCTTTGATGATGCTGGGTTAGTAGTCTTTAATAAAAATACACCTAATCATTTTTATGGGACTACTGTCGATGTAAATCGTATTATGCTCCTCTCACAATTATTGCGGTATCCTCTATATTCAATACTTTATCTTGCCCTTGTAAGAAAACATGATTTGTGATACAAGTACAATAGTGATACTCGGTGACAGTGGTGCTCAGTGGCACTGATGATCTCTAATACGGTATTCAACATTCAGGAGAAATTGCTGCGGAAGATGTTAGTATCGTAAGAGAGCTTGATCAAGAAGAGTTGCTGGTAAGTGTATTCCATTTAAATCGCACATCAAATCTTAAAATGTTAATCTTTAAAAGGTTGTTGCTCCCAATGAGTCATTTGACAGCACTGGTCTACACCCCAACCGGGGATGTGTTGATTGGGTTCAATAATCACCTCAAGCAATGGAATACCTCACCATCAATCACTGAGAATCAATTTTTCGAGCAAGCTATCTCCCCATTGTTATTACCAGCATTTTTATATAAGCCAGAGTACGAGATTTTCAAGTATGTATTTTAAATTATTAATAAAGCGAGAAAGCTACTCTTGTTATCCTTCATTTACTACATGTAGGTACGATAAGGCGATGATTTGTGACTCCTCGTATGAGCCTGACACATTGATAATGCCTAACCTCCCGGACAAAAAACAGGTTGATATTTTTAGTTGCGAAGTAAAGAAACCTTTTGGAAACTTATCAAATCAGCTAAAATCTGATTATGTTAAAATCCATAAAGAATTGAAGCTTATTATCGACACTCGAATAGATCTTGGTGTTTAACACCGTATTGCGTATTCATTGTTAGTAGAAGGTTAGTTGTCCTGATTTAAAATGATATTGTAACTGCCCCTTTTAAATCACCAACTTAAAATTAATCTGCTCTTTACATTTATACACAGGTTACGACCTCACACTGTTCAATATGGAGGTAGAGTATGATGATATATACAGACTATCTATATATCCAGCCTATAATCTACTTAACAATTAATAGCAACCCAGCACTGAAATATAAACCATTAACTGATCAAGATATTAATGTCTAATTCCAATCCACGCTCCCATTTGATACTCCCGGATAACAATCTATTTCAATCCTTCCTTATAATAAGGATCCCCTTTTCCATTTTTTCTTGGAATATTTCAATTGGCGTACCATAAATAAACTTTTATTGCCCTTCTTTTTAACATATTTCTGAAATATAAGGCATTATATTCGATAATCAATATACCAACAATTAAATCTAGACCTATTCATTACCTTGTTGGGTTCATAAGATTTTACTTCACAAAAAATGGAATAGTGGCATCCCACAAGATTTGACGGAAGTAAAAAATAATATGATTGGCCAGTAAAAAGGTTAAATACTTGATTTTAGCTTTTATGTAGCCATCACACAAGTAAATTATCTCCAAATCACAGCCTGAGATTAGAAAATCATCCTGTATAAGGGAGTACTCTCTAATAGTGGGAGCATATAATCAAAGAGCCTTTATCATTAATAACAAACTAGTTTGCATGAAAACTAGAGAGAATAAGAAGTGATGATTCTACCCCGTCAGACTATTTCTTATAATTCAATAATTTATAAGTCTTGAATTTATCATTTTCGTACAGGCAAACTTGAATTTAATTTGTATATGATTCACTTTATGCCAAAATAAAAGGACTTTCAATCTAGATCTATAGGTTATCTTTGATAGATACATAGAGAACTCCCATTTGAAACAGCCAAAACCTAGTTTAGTAATTATAATTTAAACTATGGTTTACAATAGGCGACTACAGCTCGTTTGTATGTATCTGCATATTAGTTGATGTTGATTTTGTGTAGTTGGGAATTCCAGAGCTATTGCTATGTACTATGTAACAGTGATCTTTTTGGCAGAATTCTTGTCCAATACTCTTATCAAAAGGATTATAACAAGGTGTGTGGCAGTATAACCTAGTTAACAAAGTTTCACACGCGAAATAAGAAGAGAGAGTGCGTGTTTATCCAGAATAACGTATGTGATGACATGGTTACGACATTGGGTAAATACAAACAGATCATGTAAATAGAGTCTGGACCGAAACCATGTGCGCTTAAGCCTAAACGATCCTTTTCATGTGATAGATTGTATTTCTCAAGTCGTGTAAGATACTTCCCAGCCACCTAAAGATAGTGCAGATGAGACATTTAAACCTTGATGAGACAATTAGAATGAAAGTAAATCATTTTAATTGGGCCATATTTTTTTTTTTTTTTTTTTTTCATAAAATTGCAGTAAAAAAAAGTTCCAATCACGACTCTTTTTAGTTATGGTAAAAAATGTCGTTCCGTAAATGAAGGTTTCTTTTACACGCGCACACAATTTTTTTTTTTTAAAAAAAAATTATAAAATAGAACATGAAGCTAATTACATATGTAAAGAATAAATCTAGAAAAAATCAAAAAGTATACCCGAACATTGCCACTTCTATCATGAAGTCAGTGTTGCTTCCAGTTGTGCCACGATCGATCCGAGAAGAATATGTTCGACCAGACACAATAAGAATCTTTGTTCCACCTGAAGAAGATTACGAAAGTGATGTAGAGCAAAAGTTAGAGTCAGAACGAAAAGCCGTCAAAGATAAATACAAAAAGAAGACTATTAAGAAAGTGGTTGGCAAAATTAAGAACGAAACAGGCCAAGTGACTTATAAAATTATTTGGAGTGGCCATCGCCATACTGATGTCGAGGTTTGTTTAAAGGTTGGACAGAGGTAAAACACACACACACATGACTCACGCTTCTGGGCACCCCTTGTAGTTTGTTCCTTCCAAAGGTTTACAGGACCACCCTGATTGGGCCTTAGTCGAAGCATTTGAATACACAGCAAAAAATCAAAATAATGGTATCAGTTCTTCAGATATGATTTAAAATAAACAATTTTTTTTTGAACAAGCGCACCCCTTTTTTTCTCCTTTAAAAGATAATGTCTAATTACCCTCGAGAAATCCTGGACAACATAATCAACAGTGATTATCTCTTGTTGAAGGAATCTGCATGTCCACCCACGAAATTCCTGAATCCATTATTTTCTAGCGATCTGTCAAACCGAAAGAGGATTCTTCAAGATTTTTTGGACGAGTTTTACAAGAAGCCGAGAATAACAATAACGCTTGACTCAGAAGACGAAGTGGAAGACAACACACCGCCTGAAAACTCAAATGCTTTATCCAAATTACGATTCAACCTTGATCCCTTATTTCGATTACAATTGAAATCTCACCAGGTACAAAACATAAAAAGATTTCTTTCTTTCTCTTTATCAATAACAAAAATGACAGGTGGAAGGAGTACAATTTATGTGGGATAGAGTATTTGTCAAGAAACGAGGTTGTTTACTGGCTCATTCAATGGGATTGGGGAAAACTATACAAGTGATATCCTTATTAACAACCATGTATCAATATCTGCAAGCTAAACCTACAAACGATATTCCTAGAGTTAGTTTCCAAACAAAAAAAAGCTGGCACGCAAAATAGACTAACCCGTCAGTCAATAGGGAAAACGTGTGCTTATCCTGGCACCTCTTGTCACACTTACGAATTGGGTAAATGAATTTGAAAAATGGGCTGTCAATGATGTCCAAACTTTAATTGGTGAAGTTTATAACATTTCAGGTACTGTTTTTTTTTCAGGATGCGTCCAGATTACCGATGAGACTTATATTATGAACTGTAGAAATTGGGCATAGCAAGAGTGAGCGATTGAAATTTTTAACATATTGGTATACACAAGGCGGTGTGTTGTTGATGAACTATGATCTATTTCGAGGGTTACTTTGCACCAGCAATTCCAATGATCAAAACAAGTTTTACGACCTTTTGGTGAATCCTGGTCCTGACGTTGTAATTTTGGATGAAGCGCATCGTATCAAAAACTCCTCCTCTTTGTTAGCCTCTTATGTCAATAAGATCCGAACAAGAACACGTATCTGTATGACGGGATATCCTCTTCAAAATCGATTGCTGGAGTATTATTATATGATTAATTTTATTGCACCTGGTCTTTTGGGATCTACAGCTCGGTTCAAGGCCTATTTCAGCATGTATATTGATCGATGTTATTCTGATTCTTCGCTTCATGTTAAGGAACAAGCTGCCTTTAAACTGTATGTGCTTCAATTATTGACGGCTAATGTCACCCACAGGTAAAATATGCAGATATATATATTTAATAGTGTGATACTAAAAAGAACGAATGCAACTTTAGACGCGATGGTAGTATATTGGAAAAACAATTACCTTCCAAGACGGAATACTTGGTTCGATTTAAACTATCGCCTGTTCAACATATTGGATATACCTTTTTACTCAAGTCAGGATTTGCGCATACTCCACTTACCAGTTTATTCGTACTTCGTTCCATGTGCAATCATCCCAAAATCTTTCACAAGGTAAAAGAACAACAGAAAAAAAAAACAAAGGTAATAACTCAAGTCTGTTACATAGTTCATGGCAAGACGATCAAAATTGAAACGAGATGATGAATTGAACAGGCTGGACCCTGAAGAAGAGGTAGAATCTGTGATTGTATCTGATCTAGTAGAAGAAGATGTGAAGGAGGACGGAGAAGTAGTAGCAGAATCTTTTAAAGTTATCAAAGAAGTATTGGATTCGGATTTAACAGAAGATAATGAAGAGGCAGTTTTCTCGAAGTTTTTAGACGCTAATTTTAGTTGGATCGATGAATACTTGGACAATAAAGGTAGCTTATTAAAATTACGGGGCTTCTGCCACACACTACTCACACATTTTTATAGACATCGAGTCCTGGAAATGTTCGGGAAAAATGTCATTTATTGTAGATTTAATAAAGGAATCTAAAGCGATGGGTGAAAAGGTAGTGATTGTTTCGCATAGTTTAGCCTGTCTCGGTAAGTGTGCTAGCTATTCCCAGGTCAAAGAGAAGAGGATCCTAATTAAAAACAAAAAATTAGATTATATTCAAGACTTGCTCCCTGTCTTTGGTGTCAGATCATCAAGGTTGGATGGATCCGTTGTAGCAATGGTAAAGTTTATCATCATCATCTGCATATCATTCTGAGTTTTAACTGTATACATAGGATCGTCAAATCATCATTGATACTTTTAACGATGATAATGATATTCATGCCATCCTTCTTTCAGCCAAGGTAAAAAAAAGAAAATAGCGGAAAAAATGGCATCGAAATAACCTTAACAACACCCGTGCTTTTTATATAGGCTGCTGCTATTGGTATTAATGTCACAGCTGCCAATCGCATTGTCCTGGTGGATCAAGATTGGAACCCATTGTATGATGAACAAAGTATTGGTCGGGTGTATCGGTATGGACAAACCAAGCCTGTAACTGTTTATCGCTTAATTACTGCAAGTACAATTGAAGAAAGAATTTACATGCAAAGTGTTCACAAAAGGAGTATTTCCAAGTAAGTTTTCTTTCTGCTCCTTGTTGGCTGTACAAAAAAAAACTAAACTGGTATTTTCACTGTAGACGTGTGATTGATAACAAGATAGCTACCGTGATTTCAAGAGAGGATTTAGTTGCTTACTTTCAAGCGCCTGATGCCGATCTAGGATTGATTGATATGAACAAGGTGGATAAGAAAGATGTGGATTGGGTGACAATGGGTGTATTAAATAAGAATACAGATACCATTTCATCCTTCAAAAACTACGATGATGATATTGATGCTAAAGGAAGCAAAGGGATGCCAAGTTTGTCACTTGAATTAAGAAAATCTGCTCAAAAGGACGCCAATAAATTATTCCGTGAATGGAAATGTTTGGGCAAGTCGAACAAATAATAGAATAATAAACATTTTACACACTCTACGCTTTTTCCTCAAGAGAGGGCTCCTGTTGTGTCGCTTGACAGAAACTAATAAAACTAGTACATCAATTTCATTCAGACATGTACTTTTTATGCACTGAAACTATTCTATTGACCTTACAAAGTCTAAAATCTATGCATAAACTCATCTTTCTAGTCAGAATATCAAAAAAACACAGGTGGAAATGCCTGTGTGCAATGATATTTACTCAATTCTTACCGCGTGTGTGACTGTCAGACATGATATTTTCCAAGTGAGGGGCACCCCGACAAAATCTTCAGTCTTCTCTCCTTTACACCACCTTAATACAGTAATCATGTTGAGCACCATTGCACGTTCCTGTTACGTCCGACCCATCTTACCTCGTGTCAGTTTATTTCATACCTCAGCATTAGTTAGAAACGCCACAGGTAAAAGAAACGACTGATAATGTCACTTCACCCCTTGTCAAAAAAAAAAAAAAAAAAAAAAAAAAAACTAAACTGTGTGTGTGTTTTTTTTTATTGTAGCCGAACCCACCACCACAAATACCAGAAAGCCTTCTTCAGTACCAAAAGGAACAGTTTTAAAAGGTCTCCAATATTTAAAGGATGGCCAAGATCCAGTTGCATTAGACGATTCCGAATACCCTGAATGGTTGTGGGAGTTATTGGATGAAAAGAAATTGAAGCAAAAGACGAGCAAACCTGTCAACCGTCAATACCATAGAAAGCAAAGCAGAGAAGCTATTAAGGCAATGAATTTCATGAAGGATAAGAAGAACTAAATTTTATAACTCTGCTTGAGTTTTATTCAAAAGGATGATGTATTTTCCTTTATTGTATCATACAAAAAAATAGATTTTTTAAAAAAAAATAAAGAATGGAAGTTTTTTTTTCTCTTTTTTTTCTCTCTCTCTTTTTTTTTTTACTTCATGGTTTACCAAGGACGTTGGTTGTTAGGGAATGCGCTTTGGCCATCTATAGAATGGGATTAATATTTAGGTTTACAGGACGTATCACAAAAGAAAAACTTACATTGCATTGAACCTTGAGGTGTGAAAATGCTGTTGGCGGGTTGTTGTTGCTGTTGAGGTGGCTGAGATTGGAAACCTGTCATTTGAGGTTGCATGTATCCTGTGGGTTGTTGAGATTGCAAAGGACTATGATGGAATGCTTGGGGACTTGGTGTAGAGAACTGGACACCAGTCATTTGTGCTTGTAATGGTGAAAGTGTTGGCGATCCAAATGGATTATCAGGTGTAGCTGTACCCCAATGTCTACCAGTAGCTTGTGCACTAATCGTTTGAGCTCTTTGCAGTCCATTATTAAATCCACCTTGATGCTGTCCAGCAGCTGTAGGTAATAAAGGCTGTGGAAGAATGGATGAGAGTGGTACAGTAGCGACTGCCATAGGTTGTTGGAAATTTTGTCCAACAGGCTGACTTGATGCAGGGAATCCAGTCATTTGAGGTTGAAGCTGTTGTGTTTGCCATGAGGGTTGTTGTTGGAAGCCAGTTTGCATAGATTGCTGTTGTTGTTGGAACCCAGTGTGCATAGGTTGTTGCTGTTGCTGCTGTTGTGGTTGCTGTTGCTGTTGCTGTTGGTATCCGGTTTGCATTGGCTGTTGTTGTTGTTGTTGTTGATTAGGTAACCATTGTCCAAGAGAGGGGTCAGAATTAAGTTTATTAGTAGGAGTAGGTCTTTGACGGGGAGCAGATGTTTGCTGAGGTTGTTGCATTTGCATAGCAGTAGGTTGAGCTTGGATAGCAAAAGAAGGTTGAAGCTGGGAGGGTTGTTGAGCTAATTGTTGTTGAAGTTGATGCTGTTGAGCCTGTACTTGTTGCATCTGTAACTGTTGTTGATGCTGCTGTTGTTGATTACCGGTTTGCATGGCCAACTGCTTTTGAAGTTCAAGCTGTTGTTTAGTCAATGCCTGTAATTGTTCCAATTGCTTCTGTTGTTCTTGAGCTTGACGTTGTAAACTCATCAATTGGATCTTTTGGATTTGTTCTTCTTCAGCAACACGTTTACGTTCAGCTTCGGCAGCCTTGATTTGCTCAGGAGTGGGACCGGCGGGTGCGGCAGGAGGAGGAGGAGGAGCAGACTTGACGGGGGATAACGTAGCGATAGGACTTGTTTCGGCACGAGGAGCCCATGCATCGTCATTAAAGCCGACTAAATCACCCACAGGCTTTTCAGGTGCTTTACCTTTACTATTGTCGGTGGTAGAGGTCAATTGGTTTCCGATAAAGTCTAATAAATCAGGATGGATGTCTTTTGGTGCAGACACTGTAGGTCTAGGTCTAGCCGATGCAGAAACACCTACCAATACGTATGAGTGGTTCGTAATTAATATCAATTAATATGAAGTGATCTTACCTCTACTCTTAGATCCAGATTCAGAACCTTCCCATTCACGCTGTAATTTTCTAGCCAACTCTTCATCTTTTTCTATTTGACTTTGGTCCTTTTTGATAGGTCCATCTTCAGAGGTATCTTCGGGTTGGCCAGTTTCGATGTATCTTTCAATACGCTGAACGTGCTCTTCCTTGATACCCAAGGTCTTCATTTGCTTGTGAGTCAAGTTAGGAATGTCACTGTCATCTAATTTTTCAGCCTTGAAAGCAGAAGCATATTGGAGTGATGCTTGCATAGGAATTCCAATCACCATAAACCAATCAAACCAGTCCCATCTTTCGTTTAATTTCTTTTGTGGTGGTTTAGAGACTTGTTGTGGTGGTTGTTGGGGAGGACGAGGAGGCATGGAGGGTGTTACTTCTTCACCCTTTGAAATATTCTTGGTATGATTATCAACCCAACGTACATCTTCAGCACACATCTTTTCAACGGGAACATCAATCTTGACGCCATTCAATTTATGCAGACGTAATTTACCATTATGGAAATCGATAAATTGAGCTTCAACCTTAAATGTGCCACTACGATCGGTCCAAGTTCTAATTTTGGACATGTCAGGTTTTGGAAGATCTTGATGACGGTTGGATGAACTACTGGAGGATGATTTTGATGCTGTGGATGCAGATCTAGCAAGTGTAGCTTTACGTTCAGCTTCTTTGCGTCTATAATCCTCTTCAATTTGCTTTTGACGAGCAGCCTCTGCACGTTTAGCAGCTTCTTGGGCTTGTCTACGTCTTTCTCTTTCTTCCTCTTCTCTACGTTTTTCTTCTTCTCTACGACGATTGTCCTCTTCTTCACGTCGTTTCCTTTCTTCTTGTTCTCTGCGTCTCTGCAATTCACGTTCTTCTTCTTCTGCGATACGTTTTTGTTGTAAAATACGCTCTTCTTCTTCACGCTTCCTTCTAATTTCTTCAACATTATCGGCACGGGAATGAGCAGATCCAGCGGCGGCAGCAGCAGCAGCGGCAGCACCAGCAGCTAGACCAGCGGCAGCAGCAGTACCAACAGGTACATCATCCTCCTCATCATCGAATTGAACATAAGAAGAAGGTACTAAACCAGTTTCACCATCGACTTTTTGAATACGCCACCAGCCGTCTGTTCTTTCATAATCTAAAACATAAATCTGTTCATTTTCCTCCACAGATAATTCATCACCACCTTCAGCGGTGAACGAATAAATGGAAATACCCCATTTGGGTACACAATTGGATTCCTCTTCCTCTTCTTCAGGTTGATATTGGATAGCAGCAACATGAGGAGGAGAGGGAGCAGCAGCAACAGGAGCAGGCGCACCTATCATGATGGGGTTAGCAGGCGCAGCCATTTGTCTTTGTTGTTGAGTTAAATGAGTAGCTGATTGTTGAGCAATTCTAGTTGAATCACTGATTTTGACGAGAATAGCTTTGGCTTCCGATTTGGAAGAAGCTTGTAAATCCAATACGGCTTGCTTATTTCCTTCTACTTCAATGTGCAAGTTTTTACCGTCAAACAGATACTTTGTAACATCCAAGATAGGGTATTGTTGAACTGGTAAAGATTTGTCTGTTTCACTGCCATAACAAAGCATACCGTTACCAATGTACAGGTTACCCTTTCCCTTCTTCTTCTTCTTTTTGGCGGCATCGTATTCATGAACATTCCAAGATTGAGCATCATCAGCAATTACTTCTCTTGGTGTTCCACCAGTCTAAATAAGATGATTATAAATATAGAATAAAATGATAAAAATAGTAATACTTACGGGTTGAGAAAGTACAGGCTCGACTTGAGGAGGAGGAATCGGTGCCTGTGTGGTGACAGGAGCTTGTGTCATGATGGGTGGTTGCGGGATACTAGGTGCAGCAGGCTGGTATTGGTCTTCGTCCTCCTCCTCCTCCTGTTGGTCTACATGAGCTTGTTGTTGTTGGCCACCTTCGATGGATTCGACATAATTACTTGGAGCCAAACCAATTTGACCATTGTTGAGTTTAACAAGGTACCAGTCTGGGTCATCTGTTTCCAACAAGTCCATTTCGTCACCTTCTTCAAAAGAAAGTTCTTCTTCTTGCTGAGCAACATAGTCATACTCTGCGCGAACTCTACCCATGGGAGTCACCTAGTGTCTAACATTAGTTTGTTATCATCCCGGAAGAATTAAAAAGACAAACCTGTTCTAAATAGTCGGCAGGCACGAGTCCAATAGGACCTTGTTCTTCCCCGGTGGTCTGCTTTAATTCACTTCTCCACCAGTCGTCGTCTTCTTTTTCAATAACATATAATATGTCGTCTTGTTTTATGCTAAGTTCATCTTCAGTTCTGGCTTCATAATCGTACAGTGCTTTACACACCTGAACGTATTTCATTTTTTATAAAAGAGAAATAAAATAAATTACTGCTTATTTAGCAATATGATATCAATAAGAAAAAAGAGAGAAAAAAAAAAGCTAGAATTGAGACAATTGCTTTTTAAGAAAGGGCTAACCGCGGGTAAATGATTTATCCAGGTTAAAATGACGATCTTTCTCTTTGCTTTTTAGGCAGGGTTGCACATTTGCACACGGAGAATATTTCATTGATACACGAGTCATTACGTCAATCTAAGCATTTTATTCTTCCTTTTTAAATTTATCACTGAGGATCTCTCTGAACCCAGAAATGATTTCATTTTCACGCTTCATCTTTTGTTCTTGAGCATGTTGTAAAACAAGACGCTTTTCTTCGGCCGAAATAACTTGATTTTCTTTACGGAGACGTACTGCATTCATACGTTGATGTCTTTTTTTTTTCAAATTATTAGTGATATCATCCCCCCAATTACTCAAAATTAAAATCGTACCTGTTACCACTCATGACATAACCAGCCTTTTCAAAGTCAAGAATCTGATCACCACTCAAACCAATTTCACCACGACGAGGAATACGTTTACCTTGTTGCACATAAGCTGCCATTGCAGAACCTTCACCAGGAAGCAATGCAGAGCCATAACTATTCAAACTTTTTTAAATCACCAAATCTTATTATCGTACCAGATATACTTACGCTCTAACATTATGATCATCATTTTCAATCAAAGGTGCAGGTCCAACAGGTGCCAAATCATCCAAAAGATCCACTATAATAAATAGATGAATACCCTGCCTATTCTATTTTTCCCTGCATTTTATAATCGAACCTTTTTTCTCTACCCAGAGGTCTTCAACTGCATCTAACTGAGACGGATCAACCTCAACAACAGCTCTTTCCTTATCACGGTCATTTTCCGATTCGCTGGATTCCTCAGACGATGAATACTTTTTACTCTTCTTACTGTGTCTACTACTACTACTGGATTTATGGCTTTTTGATTTACGGTGCTTCTTTTTATGACGACGACGACGTTCCTCTTCACTGCTGTCTTCTTCGGAATCAGACTCATGTTTTCTAGAATGCTTCTTTTTAGACTTACGCGTGTCTTCAGGTGAGACAGAGCGTGTAGGACTTTCAGGCGAGCGAGCCCAAATGGTTTTTGTAGATTGATTTCTTACACGAGTTCGACTAATTAAAAAAAGAAAGTAATAGTTAGTTTTCTTCCATGCACAAGGAAATCATCCTAACCCGAACATACTAATCTGAGAAGCTCTCGCCGGGTAAAATAGGAATACCATCAACTTCGCTTTGCTGATGGCGTGATCGTCTATCGTCATAAGGTCTATAATCTCTACGTGGCGATGGCGATGATCGGCGTCCTCTATCACGAGATCTGCTACGATCTCTTCTTCTAGGTGGTGGTGGACTTCTTCTTCTTGGACTGTTGGAATTACTACGAGGTTCGGACTTGACGTGGCTTCTTCTTGGTGGTGAAGAAGGGCGTCTTCTTGTATAAGGAGAAGGTGATCGACCTGCCATTTTGTATTTGAAAATAAAGGAAGAAACAAAAAAAAAAAAAAGATATCGGCTGGGATAACATGATACAGACCTTTGTATTCTTAATTCTATTGGACGCCTTGATTAATTTAAATAGCCAATGAAATTAATATTTGGAGGCTGTAATGAAATACATGTTTTAAAAAGTGCTTCGTCAATACGACACGACAGTATCTGGACAGTTCTTAACATGAAACTATACACTTTACAGAGATATTGCTTCAATAAAATGTGCAAATACTTGTTCTTTCTGAACTGCATCAAGAAAAAAACAGTATGGATTTCCTTTACTATGGAAATAATACTATGGAAATAATATAGAAAAGATATTCTGAAATGACTATCTCATACGACTTTTTTACCCCTTTACTAACATAATTCTGATTTTTATATGGTCAATAAAAAAAGAGCTGTAGTGCGAAGCATGCAGGCCTGTCTATGTAAGTTTTTTTATGTCGTAGTAATTCATCCCCTGCCAACCACGAGAACACTTTACATATTAAGAGTAACCATAGTCGAACAGCAGTAAGAATTAATTTTATGCTTAGATGTGTGTGTGTTGTTAATATTATTATTAAATACGTAGACTCGAAACCAATTAAATTCTACTAATGATGCCCCTGAAGCATCAATCCCTATTGACAGCAATTTTTTTTTTTTGGAAATTTGATTCTCTACTTGATGAGAACAATGGTGATGATAATGGCGCTGAAAGTAAACAGTTTTAAAATAACTTGGTTCGAAGCACTGCCTTACTCCCGTATTTTAAAAAAGCTATTTTTACTTTTATGTCAAACATATTTTTATGTAATATGTTGTATTTATGCACGACTCACTTAAATACAAATGATTTTGTTCAGCTCTCTATTTAAAGTACTATGCTGATCCTTTTGTAGATATAATAATCGTATCCAGTAATAATGAAATAAAACAAACTGACCAGAAAAATTAAGCATTGCAAGAAATGATTGATATAGAATTGATGTTTATTAAGTTATTAATATATTACCTGCAAAAAATGAATATAGTTTTTAACATAGAAGTGATAAAGGTTCTACATTGCATCCAAAGCCTACAGGAATTATACGATCGCGTAAACCGAGTAAATATATATATATCTACAAAATTGCTTTATGTAATTTTCAATTCCGCAACACGGTGTATTCAATGGTCCAGTGTGTGATTGGTATTAGGAGCTAAGCCTACTTTACGACACAGTTTTTTTTTATTGAATGAAGTCTACTCATGATATTCAATTTTTTTACAGATTATCAACACTCATCAAGTGCGACACTGTAGATTTAATTTACATAGGCTTGGAAAAAAAATCACATCCCAGATATATAAAAAATATGTACGTGATTATTATAAGCACGCCTGTCGACTCTAATACACATTGTATACACTAATCGTGTAAACTAAACCTGTCACATTGATTTTATTTTCCAGAAGCTAAAAACAGGTGACTGACAAAAGTCCATAATCTCTTCAAGAGTATCAAGATCAATACAGCCACAGTTTTGTTTTTGGAACGGTCAATAATAGTGATCGTGCTGTTATAAAAAGCATAACTCCTTGAAATGCAGAACACGATCGTACCGTGTTTAATCATTCTAATTATACTGTCGCACTCGTCTCATAAGCCTACCAAATTTGATAGTACGATCCTCCGAAACTTGTAGATATAGCATATCTTTTTAAACTATCCATCAACATACACCATCCAACTGATGTGATCTCATAACACAGGCAGTTCAAATCGCTCCAGTATATGTAGGCAAGTTATTAATGACTCGCTCCATTCGTAAAACCTTATTTTGATCATGTCTTACATAAGCACCTTTACGGAAACATCTTCTTTTAACAAATCATCCTTGGGTCGAGATCTAGTGCCAGTCCGGGTTTTCACTCATATACAATCGGAACATAATGTCCAATACTTTCCCTTCTGTTCTTATCAGTTAGAACAGCCGCCATCCTGAATTCCAATTTAGCATCTCCAAGACTGTGGGGACTAGGCCTATTTGGCTCTACGTGATCCATTATTGCATTGCTTTCAAAACTCGTTTCTCTATACTTCTTGTTGTTATTGTAGTATCATCTAATCTTCGATTTTTTTGTGAAACTGTTTTTCACTTTTCTTTACTGCCACTTCGTAAAAACTGCCTCATTTGAACTCGCCCATAAAAATTGATTTCACCTTCTCCTTGTTGGCAGCACGACATCTGTAAAGTTGTCTTCTATAAGACTGGTCGCTTTTAACAGCTTAACAGGGATATTGCCAACCTTGCAATAAAAACCGTATTTCTATTCTAGAATTCACCTTGTAAATAAACGTCTTTTCCACGGAAAATCTCGCCTTAAAGGTAGTATTTAACTAGCAACTCTGTTATTGGAAAAAAAAATAACATGTCGTGTCGCTTTGTCACAGGTTATTTAGAATATTCTTAGTGGCAATATTCTGTGGTCTGATTCTTCATTGATGCCGGACTGCTGTTCAAAGACGTCCTCTGTTGATTTGAGGGGTTATTCAAGCCTGTTCATAACTACTTTTTAATCAAAAATGACTTGAATCGTTTGAATTCATTAGGAGCAAATAGCTAAAAGCAGAAATTGTGGTGCACGAATTAAGCCGGCTCGGAATTGATTATTTGGCAAAAAGATAGGAAAAATGTTCTCACTATAATTAACCTTCTTCCTTTTTATCCCAAAGAACCAACTTATGGAATTACTTCTGCCATCACTGACTCATTCTTTGTATTGTAAAAGTCGTGTCGTAAACTGTAATAATAGTATTCTTTTTAACCACGACACATTCAATTCTTACGATTTTCTATTGCATTTTAGGATATTCACAACCAACATAAATCACCGTCATGTAACAAGACATTACAGCTTTTTTATGGTCCACCTGCAAACTATGAATAATAGTAACTAAACACAACAAGTTGACGATGAGGATGAATGTTTTTGCGGGATCAAGTTTATGTCGTTTTATCAAAAAGCTATTCTCCTTCTTCCACAACAGTTTGCCATTCCCTCAGTCTACGATTAGGTGGATTAAAATACAAATGCCTTCTACGCACGAGCAATAAGATACCCATTGGTCTGTCCATGAAGGCTTGTATTGGGCGAACAAAATTTAAACAAATCTGCAGACGAGGATATTAAAATTACCAGCAAAAAAAGTGAGATTGAAGGATAGACGTACAAAAGGGTTGTACGCAAGAGGTCAACAAATATGGATATTTAGACATAATCCCGATCAAAATAGTGTGGTGGAGACAGCTGGAATTGAGGATGTGGAATCGAACGTATTATTAGAAGTGCTTTTAAAGTTTGTTAAAGATCAATACGATGATGATCAAGTTGAGAAAGGACAGGATATACATCTATCAGAATTATATTCAAGAGGCATATAGATCATTGCGGCATAATTGGGGATTAATTTTATATACGCTTCAGCTGACTATTTGGATTTATTATCTGACGACGAGGGGATCCACTGTTATTACTTAATGAACCCCTCACTCGGAATGACCGTATTACACGCCCATCTATTCTAAACCAGGAGTAATCATATGAGCAAGGAGTGTGTTATCGATAGTAGCAATATAGGATTACAAAAGATAGCGAGATTTGGTATACACGTACGTCTGGGGGTTAGAGCAGTGTTGAAATTGGATATACGGAACGGATACCCGGGTAGCAGTTATAGTTAAACTTGGCGGATCCTCGAGTCTAGGGGTACAGGTATCATAAACCTCTATAAAATGAAAGGAGATTCTAGTGCTTTTGTGGGGGAACTAGCAGAATAAAACAAAAACAGCAATGCTGGCAATTATCTTTATCACCGCCTATAAATGACATAAAAAAAAAGAATGAAATAACGAGGATTCGGATAATAAAATGAACACTATGAATCATCAATGATTTGGAATCCCTGCGTTTGCAAGATATATTCTCGTTTGTTATATACTGTCTAACAATTATGCTATACATATTTTTTAAAAAAAAAAATTGATGGTGAGATTAAAGCAGATATAAATAATTGGGGTATAATGGGTTTCTATAAGATGTTTCTTTTTTTTAACTTGGAGTCTTTCATTATTTTATTAACAGTTTACAATTAAAATCAAGTTATTTTCAGAATTATCATTTTAAATGTTTAGTTTCCCTAATCCATGTGACATTGCCTTTAAATCAGTTTACAAACATATACGAATTCTTATTTTTAAAGCCTGTTTATTTCTGTTGATCCATCTGGTTATAAATCACAGTATTTAACTTTGCAGTTGCCGCGATATGAACTACCAATTTTTTGGGACCTTCACACATGACATTATAATAGTTATAACTACCTTTTTTTTATCTGCGTCTTATGTACCTGATATATATATATATACTGGAATGAAATTACAGAGCTCTGATGGAGTTAATAATATCAAAGAAAAAAACAATGGCTACTTCATCCAATCTAAGCTTCTTGAGAAGCATATTCATTCTGATCCCAGTAAGGGACAAGGTGGTTTTGTGTGATAAAAACGGAGACGCTTTGATAGCGCGTTCTTAATATTAAGTCGCACTTGTCACTTAAAATAAAATATTAAAAACGCTGTTTGCATGTCTCACTTTCTTCATTAAAATCTACTCGAAGTAATCTTACTGTTGGAATGCTTTGTGATTAACAAAAACTAAATTGACACAACGATACAAAGCTTGGAATTCAGTCATAATCTTACCATCTCGACCTTGTTCAACCGGTTATTGTCCTTTCTTTAGTCTTTATCGAGTCTGTAATAACTTGACTAGGTTTAAAAACGAAATGAAGAATGATCTTTATAAACACAAAACTGATCCTCTTTATTTCTAGTCGTATACCTTCAGCTGTTGTGACTAAGTGACTGCGAGAAGGCCTTACTCACAGTAAAAGACTACGATATAATGAGCTTCAATTTTTTGCGTTATAGATCGCCTATATTCACCAAATAAAAAAATACGAGGGGGGAAGGACTATCGACGAATTAATATGGTTTACAATTTGTATTTGCAGGCAATTAAGGCCCCTTGATGACATTCTGGTCTTACCCACATTGTGGAATTAAACTCGTCTAGTATACTGTCATTTCTGGACCAGTTTCGTAAAGGTCTTGAATAGTTGTAGCAACCGGAACTTATGAGTGTTAATAATGCTGTGAAGAATTGTGGTATATTTCGGTAACATCACATATAATCAATGAGCATGCACAAGCAATTAAATTATAACACATATGTTATCATGGAATTAATGTAATTCATGCAAACTTTTTTTTATCTTTTATCGTAAAGAGTGGGGTCATTTCTCATA